TTGTTTAATAAAGCTACGTAGGTTAGTTTACTATAACTACAAAGATTTGTTTGTAGTTTTGTAGGCTAGTTTATGATAGCTATATGAGATATAGATAATGTGAACTAGCTTATTATAGCTATGTAATGTATAGATAATCTGAGCTAGCTTACTATAGTGATGTTTAGATAATCTGAGCTAGTTAACTATAACTGTGCAGATAAGACATGGTAAGCCTTAAGAAAATTCAGTATTGGCAGATTAGAACTTGTTTTCCTCTTTATATAAAATAAATAACTGAGCTATAAGCTGGCCAATATATTCAGCCAACTTAAACGGATGAAATTTACAATTGGAATACCCAAGAAAAAAAACTGACTCTAATAAAACGCATAAACACTGAAAGGTTTATATTTCAGAGCTCAACTTGGATTGCAAAATATTAAATAACTCAGTATATTAAAAAACTAAAAATAGTTTTAATTGTATTCTTTAAAAATTTGTTAAATTACAAATTATTTATTCTTAACTTCATTTGCAACTAAAAATTCTTTTCTTTCATTTTTTTAAAGAAAGAAATATGAAATTGTTATCTACGATTGACGCCATTAGTTGTCGAGTACCAGTGCTCTTATCTACTGCAATTAGTATCGTTTTGCGTCATTAAAATACCGTGCGTAACAAGTCACACATATTTCATTTCACTTCAATTCGTTTAAATGGTTTATAATTATGCAGACGAAACAAACTTAAATTTATATCATAAATTTTACTGAAATCGATTATTAGATATCTTTTTTTTTTCCTGTAAAGATAAAGAAATACTGTGCGGGAAAAAAAAACTTTGTAACTTTTGATCTAATGATCGGATTTTCACAATTGGATTCAAATTTTAAATACACGATTTTTTTAAAAATTTGATAATCCAGAAACTCTTCTGCTGATTACGCTGATATTTTGTTTTACTTAGCTCTTTAAAAATTCATTCTCTAAAATGATGTGAAAATTCATATACTTCAATATTTTTTTACTATAATAAAATGAAATAATAGAAAATTATTATGAATAACTATTAAAAATTATCTTTGGATAAACAAATGTTATACTTATTAGTAAAAAATTTTCGATTTGATCAAAAAATTCTTGATGTATGGCTTCATACGCAAAATGTAAAATTAACATTGGGTCCAAGCTTTCAACCGCTCTCCTTAATAAACTATAGAGACCATTCCTCTGAGGATACTGTTTCCCCCACCCCCTACCTTGAGGATCAGAAATCCGAATCATCAACAAAAAAAAAGGTTTATTCAGAGAAAGTACTTTTGTGTCGCACTTCGTAATTTAAAATATCATGTCCTCTAATACATAATATATATTCTAATAAATATATATTCTGTCTTGATAAAATTAAAAATTACATTACACTTTAATTTTTCAAATTTGATGAACTTAAAATATTTTTTTCATAAGAATGTTCCGTGTGATGAACATTGAATAACTCCATGAAAGGAGTATAAATAGTAATCTTACTAAATAAATAAATACTTCAGAAGTAAAGTATTTATAACTCAATGGTTAAAAAATGATAGTTAAGTTCAACCAAGAACTTTGAAATTAAAAGTTTCAAGAAAGAAAAATCATTGAGTGGGGTAATTTAATATTTTATTATTTAAGGGAAGGAGAATAAATCATAAAAAGATGATACCCCATGTAGTTTTATCCAACAACCATTCTTATCACAGAACCACAACAATTTAATCGATTCGGTGACCTTATCACCACTTAGCTTTTAGATAAAACTCGATTGATTCAAAAAAACATGTTTACCACAAAATTGTTTTTCCTCCAGGATTTCTCTTTTACTTTTTGCTTGTTTGCTTTTGTAACAATTTATCAATTCCCTATTATCATGTTTATGTTTTAGTTTGTCTTATTAACCATCTTTACCAACAAATGTGTATTATCATACATGAAAATATATAAGTTTTTGGTTTCAAACCAACTTAATCCGTGAGCTTTAATTCCCCCACAATTTTTGCTAGTTGGATTACTATTGTATGAGGAATACGATAAAATCAACTTCTTCATTCATCATATCGTTAAACAAGAAACATTTAGCTAAGTCCATAATAGAATTTTGTCGGATCAAAACTTGGACAAATTGAATTAAGGGAGTGTTTCCTCAAAAGTGCCATTTTCCTTGTGAACTCCCACATCCCCTCATAAATCCCGGCCTTTTCCGGTACCCCTAGGCGGAACATTCCGCCCTATGTTTATAGAGGGATTTTTAAAAAAAAAATTAATAGATTTCTCGAATTGCTGTAAAATTTAAGAATTAATTCGAGAAATCTTTATTTACTTTTGCTATTTTCCGATTAATTCTAAGTAATAATTATTGTATTTTCCGATGGTATGGAAATTTGTTTTTCACCGGTACAAATTTGAAATTAAGCATAAAAAATAATAAATAAATAAAAAGACGTGTGAAATGAGTTAAAAGCATTTAAAAAAAAATTTCTTAACATTTTAAACTAATGAACGCTGAATTTTCCGTCCTTTTTCCCTTGAGCTCCTAGGAGGTTGCCTAGGTTCACTTAATGGTTGCGCTCCTACCAAAATAAAAGAATTTGTGGGCCTGCTATTTATGGGCTGGGTTCCGACGCTAAGACAAATTACGCAGCATTCAAAAAAGCCAAAATAGAGGCCAGCAAAAGTATGTCACCTAATCAAAGTTACTATAACTCATTCTTTAATTTATTCTTTCTAATATTAAAATAACTTCATTTTTCTGATTCATTAGTCACCAAGTTAAAATATTCACTCCTTATATTATATTTGTTTGTAAAATCGTTACAACCATATCATTTAAATGCAATTATTATTGTTAGCGATTTAATTGTAGTTATTATTAAAATAACAATCTCACCTACTAACGAGCGTATTCCCGCCCTAGCCCGTAAGAGCAGTTTTCACAAAAAAGTTTTTTTTCTGTCATAGCTTTACTTTATAAAGTATAAAAGTTTCTGCACGTGATTTTTAATGCCAAAATGCGAAACTTTATCAAAATCGATTGAATATTTTTTTAATAAATTAAAAAAAGTTTAAAATATGATTGTAATTTTATTTCCCGGTTAATACTTTCATATTTTTCGTTTCTAATCTTAATTTTGACGACAAAAATTGTAAAAGTGTAAATTATTCAGCGATGAATAATTTTATACAGTAACAAAAACTTTTATACCTATTATAAAAGCCATTAACACAAAATTAAATTAGTGCGTAAAAAATAATTTGAAATAATTATGCTTTACTGTTATAATAAAGAATGAAAAAATTTAAATAAATGATATAAAATAATATTTGCACCATATTACTTCACAATTTAAAATTAAATATTTAAATAAAATCGATGAATATTTGTCAAAAAAATAATTAATTAAAAAAAGTAAAAAAATTTCAATAAAAAAACATGTTTTTAATTGCTTTTCTCTGAACTATTTAACAGGTTTATTTCAATTTTGGTTTACCAAATTACGTAACATAAGACGATATAAAAATCTGCTTACCTTATTATTTAAAATATTTTCAATAATAATTAAATATAATAAAATAAATATAAAATTATGAAAATTCCTTTTTGAGTGAAATGTTAAATGAAAATTCGAAAAATGTTCTGATTCAATCAATTGGATCCAATATAATAAAAATAAAAAACTTATAAGGGCTCAAAATTTTGAATCACTGTCCCGACTTTCTTGTCCAACTATTCTTTTCTGCAAAACATTTAGGACACTTTTCTAGATGTCATCAATCACAATTTCATTTAGTCAAATATCTGTTTTTAAAAAAAAGGAGTATATTTTTGAGAATAATTTTTTAATTTAATTTTAATATTTATTAAGTTTGTTTTTATTTGTACATCCGATTCATATTGTGATTGTTGTTTAACCATGCAGATTTCAAATTCACTCAGAAGGCAAGAAAACTCTAGAAAAAAAATTTAGATTCGCCTTTGTCAGGTTATTTTCGATGAAACTACGTAACATACGTTACAAAATGTACCTTTATTTCAAAAATTTAAATCTGTTTCTGTAAATTTTGTTAAGTGTAATGTATTTACAATAAATTAATAATATCCATAAAAAATTTAACCTGACTTTGTCTTATAACATGCGAAGCTTTTTCGGACTTTTCAGAATCTATGTATGAAAAACTTTTATGAAACATGTATGAAAAACTTTTGTTATAAAACAGATAGGTTAATTAATGAAATAGAAACAAAATATTTTTTGCTAAAGAATAATATTATTATCTTTTAATTTGCCTTAATTGTGTTTTTATTTAATCAGTGTAATTACTTTCAATTTCATGTATTTTTTCAGAATATTAAATAAATAATTTTGTGACATAAATAAAGTAAAATAAGTAAATTGTGAGCATGTAAAATAAATAAACTTAATATAAAATAAATAATTTTAATTTAAAATAAATGAATTCATTGGTTGAATAACGTAAAATAAACAAATTTGTGGCTTGTATAATCTAAAATAAATAAATTTATGGCTTAAATATCTAAATTATAAGAATTGATCATTTATAAAATATAGTTTTAGAAATTCACCAGCGAGAATCAAATCAGAACGCGAAACAGTTTTAGTTCCGAATTTAGGAAGTCATTCGCAAAGTAATCGATTTGTTTTTATTTAATATTGTCCACCTATGTTACAACATGAATAATGTGAAACTGTTACTAGGTGTAAACAGCGTGACAGCTAGTAAACTGTAGCATTGAACTACTCTTTTCATTTTTCTCCACGAGCATTTACATACATAACCTTGAGTCTGAAGTCTCTCAGCTTCTAAGAAACCTGCCTCAATCTAGATAGAAGAATGACGTCAATCCGTAACAGTCAAAATCTGCTGCGTGTTCTTCAGATATTACGTCATCCTTTACAGCCAATCAGAATGCTTAAAAATGACATCACTCCTTTAAGTTTTCCCTACGCTGCACAGGGAGCTTCATTTCTCTGCACTTAGTCTAAATAAAAAGATTAAATCTTTACGAAACTCTTATATTTACAGTTTTTTAATAGAAGAAAATTTTTCTTCTCGATTCTAAAGCGTCGAAGGAGGATTTAAATCCCAATTATAACGGACTTATTGCCGCGGAAGCTTACAGTTTCTGAAAGTTTTTAGGGTATTGCGGAGAGTTACTCTTTTATTGTGATATTGCGTAGGTCATACTTCAAACACGAATCAGGAAGAGCGCGCAGTTTTTCGTTCTGAGACCCGCGGTCTTTATTTTGGAGAGTTTATGAATTAAGAGGGACTGTTTCTCCTGCCTTCTGCTTCCATCACTAAATCACGACGGCTCTTTTAAAAGATTATTCAGCATGTCATCCGTATGTGGAATCACCACTCATGTATGATTTTGTGACGGACACGCCGAAAAGGAATGCCAAACTGAAGAATTTGGACTTTAGTGTTGTGACTGATTTGCCTGATCTAAGCACTCCAGAGGTGTCATTCGATTTACAGAATTTTATCGAAGTTTCCAACCAGGTCCCAGCCGACGCTATTCTTGCTGATATCTTGGCCGAAGAGTCAGAAAGATCCACAACAAACATTCCAAGTGTCAATTTCAGTTTCCCCATGCCCCAATCGGCCGGATTTGGATCCGACCGCTACGGTTCCGAAGCGGGTGTCAAACAAGAACCCGCGGCGGGGCTCGACACCCACGGCGGGTTCACTGGGGGACGGAGCTACCAATACGCGGCTGGTTTGCCTCAGTTGCCGGACGCTTCACTCAATCCTTCAGCGTATAACGAAAACAGGGATATTGCATTCAACAGTGGACGGAACGAGGAGAAAAAATCTAAAAAAGCTATCGACAAAGCATCAGACGAATATCGTCGACGAAGGGAAAGAAATAACATCGCTGTTCGTAAATCAAGAGAAAAAGCTAAACAACGCTGCAAAGATACGGAACGTCGTGTGTGTGATCTTGTTTCTGAAAACGACAAACTCAGAAAACGTGTTGAGCTCCTCAATAAAGAGCTCAGTGTGCTTAAAAACCTTCTGGCCAATGTTGGTGTACCTCCTGATTCAGGTGTCAAAGGCATGGAATAATTTAATAATCATTTTCATCAATCATTTTACATTACAGTATAGAATACAGAAGTACTCTGTTATGGTATGTGTACCGATTTTAATAATGTATCGGTTATCGGTAGTGAAACTGAATTATATCGACAAGGACGATGTTATTAGGTATCTTTTATATTTCAAGTCTGATGTGCGGCTTAAACTTTTATTGCCTTTTAGAAAGTGCAATCATATCGAAACAATGACTCACCTTTTATTATATTAATATTTTTTGTTACTCAGAATATTAAAACTCAAGTTTTGTGATTGTGTGTTTTTTTTTTTAAAGAATTGTTAAGACATTTTGCATTTAAATTGTGAATATTGAATGAAATGTCCATAGTCGTAAATGACAGTGCCAAGGACTAACAAATTTTTTTCAAAATATTCTATTATGGTACTTAGCTTGCCAAAGATCAACGATTGCTATCCATTTGTTTGTGTTAAGTTATAATTTTTCATTATTGTTTACCATTCAAAGCTGTTAATTTATGATACATGAAGTTAATTTTATAAACTGTTAATTTTTAAAATGACATGAAAGAATTTTTCTAATAATTGTTTTTATTATGTATTATAGTCTAATCTTAAATGAAGATACTCTTTTTGATAAAATGTATATTTTGAATTTACTAAAATGTCTGATATGATACTAAGTTCATATGAACTTGTGATATGACCTAACCTATTTGTTTTTTAATTTACTTCGATAAACAATGAAACAGCTCAATCATTTTTCTTATTGTTGATTTTGATGATTGAAAGTCATAATTATTATATAAATAAATCTAATTTTAAAGACTTACATTTTGTTATTTTTTTTATTTATTTTACTAGCAATAAAAATTACATCATAATACAATGATGTAGTACGTAAAGGAAAAATGGTACAAAATATTCTTTTCTTTTTCTACTTCGACAGATAATGAAACAGCTCCGTATTTTTTCTTTTTGTTGATTTAATTAATAGTCATAATTTTTGATCTTTAAAAACTTTTATGCATATACTGATATATATTGCTCTCAATGAATTTGCGTCTTGATGGCATAGTTAATGCACAAAAGTATTAAAAATGCTTTTTAACAAATAATGAAACAGCACAGTAATTTTTCTTGTTTAGTTTGATAATTGGAAGTTATGATTATTATGTAAAAAAAAAATATATATATATTATTGTTGAAAACTTACATGCACTTTAGTAGCTAGTTTAAAAAAAAAAAAATTATATCTTGTAGCTATGTAATATTTTATAGAAAAAGTATAAAATATTATTTTAAGTAAAATGTTCTAGAGTGTATGTTAAGGAAAATTTAGGATCATTAAAATTAAGTTATTGATCAGTTGATTAGTCAAGTCTGTGAATGATAAGAAGGTGAAAAAATCTTTACTTAAAAATGTTAGAAACTAATAAAGTTAAAAAAATTATCTGGAGTTTTTTATATATATATATACTAGAGCAATAAAATTGTCATGTTGATGTAATGATAAGTTATAAAAAATGGTACAAAAAATTTCCTTCATTTGCATGCTATAAATATGTTCTATAATGCATGTATTCCAGAAGATTAAGGCTAATTTAATTGTTGAGCTCTTGATACTACCTGAGTTACAAATGGTAAGTAAATTTTTAAAAAAATGATTCTAAAATGAATTTGTCAAGTTATGTTGAAAAACAAGTCAAGATAAAAAATCTAAATTGTTTTTTTTTTTTTCACTAGCATATAATGACATATTAATACAATGTTGCGATAGAATATCGAAAAAGGTACACAATATTCTTTTTATCTGAATGTTTTAGATAATAGGTTCTAGATTGTATACATTTAAGTAAATCATGGTTAATGAGCTGTTGATACAACCAGATCTGTAAATGGTGAGTAGATGTAAAATTTATACTCAAGAATTTTTGTCAAGTTTAAAATTGTTTCAGATCAAGGTAAGTTTAACCCTTTGATGTCAATTTTTTAAAAAATGATTTCCTCTCTTAGTCTAATTATTTTTTAGAGAAACAATTTTACTAAAACAGAAACAAATTCCTTAAAAAATAATTTTTTTATAATAAATTGATAATGTGGTCCCATAGGGCTGCAACCGCATATTTATAATATCTGACATAGACCGCAAAGGGTTAAAAATATTTACATAAAGTTTAATAATTACTATTTTAATAACAAAACTTTTATCATTCTGTACAGTAAGTAATTAATCAAATAGGATTTCGTGATCCTTTACTAAGGTTGCATGTTATTGTTTTTGATTTCTTATAAATTTAATTTCAATTCTGATCTACATTTTCCTTTTCGTGTGTAGAACTTACATGAGTAATTATCTGGAATTAGTTAATGGATAAAGTAAAAGGATGTAACCACAAAAAAATTATAAACTTTTAAAACATGTAATAGTTTTATCTTCTTCATTATACAATTTTTAAAAATTAATTTACCTTAAATAGACATTGATATATATCTTCTAAAAAAATCATTATTTTCCTAAATATATACTATAAAATATGTGTCTAGTATTTTACCTGTGGAACAACAAATCCTAAGAAAAATAGAATATTACAAATGTTAGAAATTGGTAATATTAGGCATATTAATTGGTAGAGGAGTTAAAAGATAATATGAAATAGACATAGCTGCATATTTCTAATTTTGATAAATTAGTTGTAGAGATAAATGTTTTGTGTATAATAAAATGTGAAAGATCATAATAACATCCTAATGATTTTTTAGTAAAACAATTAGTAAATTTATATAATCCTTACTTTTGAGAACGAACAAAAAAAAAACTGCCCTTAGTAATTCATTTCATTGGTTCAACGAGGTTTTTTAAATTGTATGAAAATAAAACAGAACCAGGAATGAAGCATTATAGATTTTTTAAAATTATTTTTACTCCACAGTATAATTTTTGTGCCATCCATAGTGGAACAGTAGTTGATTTAATTAAGGTTTAGTTTTTGATGTCACAAACTGGAGATGATAGGCAATGTGAATTTCTTAAGAGTATATTAAAAACATTAAAGTACACATATGGACTAATATATATTAAGTAGAAACTATAGTTTTGAACAGAAGAAACACATTTTTGAATTATCTTCATTTTTTTTTATTGTTTTATTTTATTCTCATCTCAAGGAGTTTTGAATAGACTCCTTGAAATGATGGCATGGTGATTTTTTTCCTTCATAACATTGAAATTGAAACATTTTGTTTTATTGTTTAAAATAAATTATGTACATGTATATTTATAAAACAATGAAGTCTTCGCAAAATGCATTAAATTCAAGCAACATTTGTTTAATTTACAGATATTAGTGACAAAAAAAGTTAATAAAAGGATTCTGAACAATCTGCACTTCTAGAAAACATCTTTTTAACTTTTATATTATATTGGTTCTTTAAAAAAAAAAAAAACATTCCTATAACTTCTTTAAAGCAACTATAGAATTAAGGCAAATATTTTGTTAGCATACAGAGGCCTATATTTCAAGTATTTTATGTAATTAAAGTTTTTTTAAGAGACGTTTTCTTTTGAACGTATGTTAATTAGCATAAGAAAAGTAGAAATTTAACTTTAAACATCATATTCAAAGTGTAGTTATAGATATGAGTACTAATATTTATACCAATACATTAACGCATTTTTTTAGTTATATGACTTGGGGTTTATTGCCACAACTGTTTCATCCATGGTTAAAACTCAAAAATGGGGGCATGTAAAAAACTTGCCTACCCTGGTTTAATATATTGTACAGTATATATCAATTTGTACACATACACCAATAATTATACTAACAAAATATTTATCAATATGTTTGTAGTTAAAATAATTTTTTAGTAGAAATAACATTTCCTTCATTTTTCTAACAAATATTTCTTCTGAAATGAAAAAAGCATTAAAATTTGTCTATAAGTATCCTGAAAATAAAAAAATTTCATATAAATTGTTTATTTTTAAATAATTTAAAAATGTTAAAAGTGCATAGAAATGCAAATTCAATAGATAAGTAATTGAGTAGTATATATAAAAGGGAAAAATTTGAAATTACATTATTTAAAAATAATGTGAAAATAAGCATAATTGGATAGTTTTTATAAGTGTCAATCAAAGAAATGAATTTCGAAATTAAAATATGTGTAAATTTATTTGGTGAAAAAAATAGTAACTTATCACATTAATTGAATTGTCCGCCTTAATTTCATAAAAATAAAATGTATGTCACTTATAGTTTTTGGATTTCTAGTCTCAATTTTTTGTTAGATATGGTGTCGCCATCTAACGGAATCATTTTATTTAACCCAACAACTAAAGCAAAATGTAAAATATGGTGTCGCTCTCTGTTGCGAGTTTAAACAACTAACATGGAGATAATATTGTTTCATTCATTAATCAATTTTGAACAAATCAGAAATATATTTAATTAACTAGCATAATATTTTCGCTATTTCAACATTGTTTTTCATTTCGTAAGAATGTGTTATTTTATCAGCGTGCGAAAATTGCAATTACAAAAAAAAACTTATATATATATATAGGTAGATATAACTGATGGGATGGTTGAATGACGAAATTATCCACTATGAATTTTGCCACTGTATAAATTTTATGACGTAACGAAATTTTTTCTATCATATTTATTTTGCTGCTCATCCCAGTTTTACCTTACTCTACTATTATTAATATAATTTGCTATATAGAGAAAATAATTACTATCTGTATTGAATATTAATACTATGAGCTAAATATACATTTTCTAATATATAAAATTAGATTTTCTTTCGTTGCCCGAGAAACCTTAACTATGCAATCAAAATGTTAGGTACTTACGATGGGAAAAAAAGCTGTTAGCTCAGAAAAAAATTAATAACTATGGAATTCTGACTTAATGTAAGCAATATCAACTACCTAAACCCAGAAGAAATTTAAAAAACTTCCGGTGTATCTCTCTGAGGGGAATTATAAAACGACTATGCCAACCTTCATCTATCAAAAGGTGCCTAATGATAGATTCAGGTTAACATGTCTTATATACTAGTGAAATGGTATTCAATATTTGCAGTGGTAGTTACGCCACATTAATTGAAGGGGGTTTTAATTTTTAGACTATGTCACCCTTCATCTATCAAAAGGTACCTCGTGATAGATTCAAGTTAACATGTCTTATATACTAGTGAATTGGTATTCAATATTTGCAGTGGTAGTTAAGCCACATTAATTGAAGAGGGTTTTAATTTGCGGCGTAACTATAGTTACACCACACCTGCACTTATGCTTTACTTACGAGGCGACGTGTGAACATGCTTAATATTCTAGGAACTTTTATTTATGTGATGTATGTTTAAATTTATGCGTAATTTTACCATTCATAAGAGTTTTATGAAATTTATAAATTCTAATTTGTTGTGAGCCTGAAATAAATTTAAGAATGTTGTTCGTTTCATTTAAATTTAAAAAACACGTTATACTAAAAGTACACGTAAATACTAAAAGTATAATATTTGATGTCTCTCATTTTCAAGCTTAGTCATAATAAGTCAATCGGAAGTAGTAAATCATATCATATCATATGTGTTGGTTATCTTAGCATCAGCCCCGCTAGGGGCTCCAACTAATTCATCTGAGTGGAAATAAATAATAAATCGCCGAAGCGCAACTGAAAAGTGAAAGTTGGGGTTCAGTATCTTTTACTGAGAGAAAATTAGAATGAAGTAGTGAGATTGAACAAACAAGTTTGAGAGAGAGAAGAGGTTTTGTGGCAGACTGCCTCGCCTTCTTCGAGGTATTACCCCCGAGCTTCTCAGGTGCACAGTAGCCACATAGCCCCAGGGAAAAGGAGAAATACATAATAAATGCGCAAAAGTAGTAAACCAGAAGTTTTACGTGGAATTTAAACCCCTAGCGCCATCTGTGCTTAGTTGAAATTTCCACTCGATAGGTTTTTATTAGCGATTAAATATTGAAGTTAGCGAGAAACTTTCGTCTTTTTAAAATGTTGAGTTTTAAATTAAACTATGTATACACTTATATTCTCTTACCTCAATGAAGTGGCGTGTTGAAGTGTTTTGAAATTAATTAAAGGCCTTTTTCTTCCACTTACAGCAGAAATTGTATGATTTCAGTCATCAAAAAGTACTTCATTCATTCATATTATATCTGTTAATATTTTTTAAAAAATCTTTTTTTTTTTTATGAAAATAAAATAGTTGTGGCTAAAAAGTTTAGTCCGCTTAAAATCTCTAAAACTGAAACTTTACGCCTATGTACCGTCTTTAAGCATGGGCACACCTGGGCAGTGCCCGGGGGCCCTTGAGAATTTTACTTTTTATAAATTGTGTTTAAAGAATAAACAACATTGCCATATATATTTTTGAAAATAAATATATTCTATTATATAAAGTGTGCATTTTTTTTCTACAAATAGTGATTGATTATCATGCAATCGCCAATAATTTGAATAGTTTATCAACAAGAAAACTTAAAAAAGGCAACCGAAATCTATTTTTCTACGTTCCAATGAAAATTTTAGGTACTTGGGCATTGAAATATGTTTTAATAACTATCTAGTTAGACAAAATAATTCATACCTTTTGAATTTATTTTAATTTGTTATACCCTTATGATTATTTAATTTAATTCAATTATTTTATTTAACTTCCATGATTTTGAAAAATATTTTATTATTTGAGGATTACAACTGGTTTAAAAATGCTTTTTTTGAGTTTAGGGGGTAATCGAAATGTATTTAAATTTGTTAAAATTATTGCATCATATTTAAAAATTGATTTATTTTATGTATGTGAAGTTTTTTAGTTCGTTTTTAAACATTATGATATGTTATAGGGGTCTAAAATATTTTTGTGCCTGGGGGCGCTGTATGCTATTAAGACGGCCCTGTATGTATGAATGGTGTTTTCTACACTAGGGAGCGCTGCAAGCTCGGGACTGCCTAAATTTCCGGGTTACTGTTTCAGTTGTATTTTAAAGCCATTTGGCATCATTGTGTTTTGAGATTCTTGCAAACAATGCATTTGATTACTTATTACTCATGTTTACAATGCTAACAATACTTGTGTTTACAATACTAAAAGTGTTAACACTAACGTAAGATGGTACACAGCTTGCAACACGAACAAACAGTAATAAACAAATGGAAAGAGGCCAAATCAAGACTGCCAAAAAAGCGAGTTATTCAAAATCTAGCAACCATGTCACCTCTTTTAATAATAAATAACAAAATAACTAAAACAAATTTTCACTCCAAACTCCCCAGAATTACATAATAACATTAATATCTTATGAAATACGGCAGATTTGAGCTCAGAAATTATCTAGTTTATTTCTTTTATTGAAAACAAAATTATCCGTTTGAAAACATCGCCTATCAGAATAACATGTAGTAAGCAGCTGCAAACTTTTTAACCGGAACAAGCTCGAGATTGTTATTGTTTACATTTCTATTGGAAACACCATCCATAGTAAATAATATAGTTTTATGAACAAATACTAAATTCAATTAGAAGAAAAGTTTAAAGAATAATATGATATGCAAATTTAATTTTAATTGAGTTAATCATATTTATAATGAGTTGGTAAGAAATTAATTACTTAAAAAATAAATTTGTTGCATTTCATTAAATAATAAGTTATAGTTAAAAGAATTTTCTTCAGCGGAATTCAAATTTGAAAATCAGTTTCGTATCTTTCAAATTCATAATAAAACTTTATTGTTGTACTCAATGAATAAATATTAAACTATATTAAAAATAGTGATGTAATCATTGCACAATTGAATTTTCTTTCGATAAAAAAGATTTACAAAATAAAATACGCAATTACAATGCAACTTTTTATTTCGNAAATCTTTTAACTTGAAAAACTATATGGAACTGAAAACTACATTAAACATAGTTCTAAAGAAAAGTATTATGGAAATTTTAAAAGATATTCTTATTAAATAAAAAGGAAAAATATTAAGAAAAGGGAAAATATCGTAGTACATTCCTATACAACTGAGTGATGTTATCATTGTACAATTGAATTTTGCAGTTCTTATTAATTAATTTTCTTTCGATAAAAAAGATTTACAAAATAAAATACGCAATTACAATGCAACTTTTTATTTCGTTAAAAATTTATTTTTATTTTGTTTCTTGATTGATCTAACAACTGTAACTCACATATCAAAAGTCTTTTTCAATTAAAAAAAAGCACAAAATATTGCTCTTCTTAGAAGGAAGGTCAAGCCTAAGAATGTAGAAAGGAGAAGAAGCTCGGATACGTAGCTTACGCGGGAAACTGCTCGATGTCATATACTATACCAGAAAAATAACTTATTGTGGACCTGTCGTCATTCGTCTGGAGCAGTGACGTAGTCTATGGTTACGAGATTTATCTATTTCCAGAAGAGATGTTCGATCAATAGGTCATAGCCCGGGTCAACAAGAGAAAGAGAATCAGAGAAGAGAGATGCTCTCCTCTTTGAATGCGTTGTTTCTTGTTTCCAAAGCAGCAGACGGTCTTAGACTTTGTGGCTAGGGGAGTTCTTTCTATAAACAAATTATACTCAGATTTAGAAGAGCATCATATGTACTAGAATCCAGCTCATGAACATAAGAAGCAAAGTAACAGTCAGGAAGTACGTCATCTGTGAACCGGTTATTGGATAGTTGGGTACGCTGGAACTTGACGCATGAGTCCCTTCATGTTAGAATTAGTACGCACACTCGGATATTCACGCTTCTTTATGTCTAAAGTATACCGTGAGTATACATCGGTTCCGGTAAAACCACCACTACCAAAGACAGCTGCGCGGGCAACAGCAAAATTTTAGGAGGCTAGCCCGCATTGTAACAGCGGATAGATGTACCACAATACAGAAGATTACTTGTGGATTAAAAGCTGGTGCACATAAGCAGCTGCACCATGGTCTCGCAGTGAACTAATCGTAAAGATACGGTACCCAGTAGAACACCAAAGTCAAGCATCACTGGCTGCACTCAGTGTGCGAAGGGTGACCACTTTGCTCAGGATGCGTAAGGACCGAGGGTGTGCGGTATTGGTCTTCGTTAAACTGCTATACTGTAAAGTGCTCGATTTCAAGCACAGGTCGACGGGGTACAAAAGCGGGGAAGCCATCCAGTGCCGTATCTAGGGCATGGCAAGTGGGTCATTTTGCCATAGGTACAAAATTCGAAAAAGGGTGCTAAATTGACTATTTCTTTCATTTTATTGTTCTTTAACTAAATCATTATTAATACTATTATGAAAATAAAAATATTTTGCTTCTGTTTAGTTTTAGCCGTTAAGTGAATTAATTTCAATATTTTCTAACAAAAACAAATTTAAATTGACCATAAAGCAAACACTCAAATGTTCTTCTCCAGATAAATCTCTTTCTTCTCTTCCAACACCCTATGCTAAAAATCAAGACTCAACATTTTTCGCTTAGTTTAGGCTGAACATGACGCCCGGTGGCTGAGCGGTAGCGCTTCGCGCTGTCCTGCCACAGGTCCCTGGTTCGATCCTCGGGCTGGGCNTGGAGGGGGGGGGGCTGCGGCGTAACTAGCACTATAAATATTAAATACCAATTCACTAGTATGTAGGACATGTTAACTGGATTCTATCTTGAGGTACTTTTTAAAGGTGAAGCTTGACATCGTCGATAATTAAATTCCCCTCAATGGTGACCTGCGGAAGTGACATGAACTTGCCAATATCGATGGATAGTCCACATTAAACAGTTAATTTGGTTAAAATATGGTACTCAAAAAAACAAAAAAAAAAAGAAATCCCACGAGGTAAATGAAAGTCTTCCGAGCAATAAACAAAACAAAAAAAAAATGAACGAAATGATATAAATTAAAAATGAAGGGAAAAAATGAGCGAAATGTCGTAGATAAACAAAAGTGAAGAAAACATATAATGAGCAAAAATGATATAAGAAAAACAGCATAAATCAACTAGTGGTATTTGTTCATCGAATTCTCTCACTGATAAAATTCTGGAAGGGGAGTAATGTGACTTAACTACCACTATAAATATAAATTACCAATTCACTAGTATATAAGACATGTTAACTTGATTCTATCTTGAGGTACCTTTTGATAGATGAAGGTTGACATCTTCGATAATTAAATCCCCTTCAATTTTTGCAATTTAGTGAAAAGTTAAATCATAATACTGTCTGTGAACTTCAAATAGTGATTAAGTGATTTATTGTTTACGTTGCGTGTATACTTTTTCTCATAAAATTTATTTGAAAGTAAATATAACTTATTAAAAAGGATGTATAACTACTTACCGTCTAATAAATATAAGACGGTGACTAAATAACTTTGTCATGAAATATGTATAAAGAAAATATTATACGATTACTTTTTAATTTAATAAAAGCCATACGCATATAATCTTTATAAAACAGATAAAAAAATTACCATTAAATGAAAAGTAAATAAATAACTTAGATGCCAACAACTTCTTTTAATTATTTCATGCTCATGACAACCAGATTTCAATCTTGAAAATTTAAGTAAGACATCGTGACATGTAATATACTCGTATCTGTCCAAATAGAGGGAGGAGAGGGAAGGGCCAAAGACATCCCCAGATGGCGTATTCGTTTGTTTCAAAATTCCTAGTAATTTTATAAAGCGCTATCTATATGTATAACATTTAACTTTTTAGTCTGGTCACCGAGGCGGTTAAGTGGTGTTTTTAAAAGGAGATCGTATAGAGCAGAAAAAGGCAGTCGAAAGCATTTTCATGTACATTAAAAAATAGTAATTAAAATGATAGTTAGTTTTATTTTCGTTATTAGCGTATAATTCAAAACAAAACACAAAGGACATCTCATTTTAAGTTATATATGTGTATACAGTATTATGTTAACAAACTTGCTATGACATCACAAGCTTAACATTCTATGCGATGCCGACTATGTTGTTGGAGATAACGTTTAATAAGTCAATTTATTATAAAGTAAAATTTCAATGATTCTAAGTGCTTTAATTGTGGATTTTTTTTGTTATTTTTGAGTACATAATTTGTATTTCCTTGTATTAGATGTTACAAAATTTATTGAAATTTCTTGATATTTCTTAATTTTGGGCATTATTTACTAAATTTGAGGAAGGAAACAAGCCAGTGCTCAAAGATAAGGGACTGAACACGTATTTCAGTTTTCACTAAACGAATAATAATATGTGAAGGGAAAATAATAAATTAGGTATGTGTTATCTTTCTATGCTGCTGTATATTTTCGGTACTAGGTGTCACACCACTTAAGCAAATAATTTTACTCCAGTTTAATATGCATGCATTGTAATGTATTCTTTTACATTCGCAATTTTGTGTAATGGTGTTCTTAATTCTCTAAAAGTAGTCATATTTTTTTCCAACTGTGTATATAAACTTCATACATAAGTTTGTTTTTCAAGTAATGGGAATGCGTTTTTTATTTTGAAAGGTGCAATAATTTTTTGCAAAATTTCCGTATTGGTACCTGTTTGCGCCAATTACCTTTGCAAGGTTGCCAAAGGAATTTTTCACTTAATAAATAGAGATATGTAGTGGTTTATCTGAGCTTTGAATTCTACCAATTAAGTTGTTTCCTTTCTGTGATGTTGTTTTTAGTTTCTGGCATGCCACTGCCCGGGTATAGCCAAAATTTGAAGATTTTTTGGCGCAGGTACAATACGGGAACTTTTAAAAAAATTTTTCTTACAAAGGATTATGAATGGTTGCAGTGAAATTAAAGTTCTAATGAGTGCAATAATCTGAGATACACTTATGTTTCAAAGTAAGCAATATTTAAAATTACTCTTAAATTTTCTATAAAAATATACCATTAAAAATATATAGTTTAAAAATTTTATTGGCTTTTCTAAGGTAGAACCCAGGTTTTACATGTCCTGGGTCAAAATTCCACGTTTTTACAGTACAAAAGTAATTTTTATATTTTGTAAATTAGATGATTTCCGTATCAATACCTGTAACAAAAATATTGCCAAGTTTTAGTGGTGACACGCAAAAAATTAAAAAATCATTAAAGAAGATCAGCTTGAAAAAAAAAAAAAATAACTTGTAGCTACCTCTGGACTCTGTAGCTCTTTTTTTGTATGATTTTCTCAAGTTAAAAAAAAAAAAATCCTTTGGCACCTTGGCGAAGGTAGTTGGTCTGAATAGGTACCAATACCAAAAACCTAATTGATTTGTAAAAGCCTTTTTTAACTGGTAATTTACCTTTTGATTCTCAAAATATCAATGTTTAAAAACCTACTAAATTTATAATTTCCTATAGTTTTTTAGTGCGTATTTTTGCTGATAACGTAATATTGATTGGCTTATAATCTTAGTTATTTGAGTTGTTATAAGCTTAATTATGAGAAAAATTTTTGGAATATTTCAAATATCTTTTAAGAAAAATCTCTGCAATTTTTTTTTCAAACATATGAAAATATTGTACTTTCAGAAACTAATTTGTACCCAGCTCTGGGAGAATTGCTCTTGTCTTCACACCTCCCCTTGAGTACAGCCCTGGGCTTATCTTGAAAATGTTATCTTTAAAATGTTTATCCAATTTTTCTATTTTTAGTTGACTGAATGTAAACAATAACAAGCTTCTTGAAATCGAAGGAAATTTAGAAAACTTCTGGTGTATCCCTCTACTTATGTTATGCTTACGAGGCGATGTATGTATAGGCTTAATATTCTAGGAAGTTTTAGTATTCTGATTCGTGTTTAAATTTACGCATAATTTTGTCATTCGTAAGAGTTTCTATAATTTATAAATTATAACTGGTTATGAGCCTAAAACAAATTTAATGAAATTAATATCACTGCATAAAAGTGTAAGGTTAGCCATGTTTTGAGTGTTATCCCTTATTTTGTATATTTGTGTAAAATAGCGCCGTTTATTTTTTGGGTAGCATCATAGCAAGCTTGCGGACTCTTCTGAATTCAATTGTTGTTGTTTTTTATCGGAAGTTAGGTTGAAAGAACATGTTATATTAGGAACACTACAAGTATAATAGTATTGGACGGTGCACTTTTACAAGTTAAGGTGTAAAAATCAATCAAAAGTAGTAACCCGTAAAAGTCTTATGAAGAATTTTAACCCCTAGTACCATCTGTGCTTAGCTTTACACGGGCAACCATCCATTGCCTTAGATAATTTGTGTTCATAAGAATCAAATGGATAAAATGATTTTTTTCCTGTACTGTTTAAATAGTGTAATTTTATAATTTATTTACAAGGTACAATTTCTGAGATAAGAAATTTTTTCTGATTTTTTTAATAGAAAGTATTCTAAAGCAAGAATTGGATCCTATACCATCTTTATTTATTTAGTTATTGGAATAGTTTCCATTTTCAAGAATCAATCCAGCCTTTTTATTTAAAGTCCTGTTTTTGTAAAAAATCATTTTTTTAATTATGTGATTTTATAAAAAATCTCAAATGCCACTTGTCTGTTCTGTAATTTTTTTTTTTAAAGTACCTAGTTATGAGAATTTATGAAAAATCCACTCACAATTTTCTGAATCTAAAATAGATATAGATTTTGTTTTTGCTGTCAGATTTCTATTTTGTGCTTTTGATGTAATGTCTTGTTTTTATAAAAACCACAGAAACCATGGGTTTCAAGAATTAGTACTTATGAAATTATAAATTAATGATACCATCAACTCTGTTTAGTGTTTTATGTTACTGTTAGTCATTATTTTATTTGAAAAAAGTCTGATTTTAGGATAAATTATTTTGTGAAAGATCTATATTTAGAATAAAATAATTTTTTAAGTATCTTTTTTTATCATAAAACAATTTAAAAAAGGGTTAATTTTTATTGATTAAATAATATGTGAAGAGCTTTTTAATTGACCCAAATTTGATCTAAATTTGGCTTTTTAATTGTTATAACTACATTTTGTCTATACAATGAGCAAAAAAAAAAATATATCACCTGACTTTTTTAAGGATCAGATTTTAATGCTTAGTGCTAATCTTAATTACCTCAAATATGCTAATTGATTAGTACTAATTAAGTTACAGAATTCTCTGAATATGTGTACCTCTTTTTTGTCGACAGATTTGGATTTTTGGCACACAAAATATGCCATATTTTACTGTAGTATATTTATCTATTTATTATAGCATTTGGTTATCATAATAAATATGGTTTCAGTAGTTTGGTCAGCAGAACCATTAAGAATTTAGTCATCAAAATGTTAATCGAAAATGTTTTGCTCACAATTAAAAAATTCTTTTGTCCTAAGACTATGTAAAAAATAATTTTTTATAACTATTTCTTTATTTAATAATAGTCTAAATAAATTTAGAATTGTAAAGGGCACAAATTCTTATTTTCCTTTGAACTAAGACATTTAAAATGGCAAAATATAAAAGTTAAACGAAGTTGATTAAATAGTTTTGTTACTTGGAAACTATTTAACCAATTTTATTAAAATTTTGCATTATATAATTTTAAATTACACAGTTTATAATAGTTTTTAAAATTTTTATACCTTACAATTCAAAAATATTTTTACCCTTAGTAATTAAAATAACATATAATTACTATGATTTTTTTTAACGGAATTATCTTTAGATAAAAGAATTGTATAATTGTGTTAAATTTTTTTGATTCTCTTAAAAAAAGGCCTAAGATGCGGCAAAAAAATCCATAATGTGAAATTAACAATAAATTTAATATTAAAACGCATTTAGTCCATCTCCTGTCTAAACTATTGGTATCATATTTTTCAGATTGCAGCTTCCCCCTATATTTTAACTGTCAAAAATCCAAATCTGTTGAAAAAAAGATATATTCATTCAGAAAAAGTAAATTTTTTTGTTTGATTCTATAACTTAATTGATAGAAGAACTAATTAATTAGCATATCTTAATGTCAACCTTTTGAATCATTAAGTTTATCAATTAGTATAGTGAGCAGTGCGCAAAATAAAAAGTGAACATTCTGAATAATTTTTGCTATAATGATCGGATTTTTATGAACTAGCCCCGCTGAATTTATAAGTGTTATAAGTGTTTGTAATATTTTCATGTGTAAGAATGTGGCCTGATTTTAAAATTAAAAATAAAATTTGTCATCAGTTACAATTATCAGAAATAAAATCAACCTAAAAAAGTCGAGGATTTTTTTTTTTTNTTTTTTTTTTTTTTTTTTTTTTTTTTTTTTTTTTTTTTTTTGGTGTTTGTGTGCCACTTTGGTGTGCCACTTTGTAATTAATACCTTTTTTCAAAAAGAATGCTATTTCAAATTTTTTATTTTCCTTTTTAGAAAGAATTTTGTCATTAGAGAAATATTATTTGTAAGATTTTAGCTCTGCTAGTAAATGTGTAAAGAAGATGAAGATATTGTGGGCATTCGGCAAATTTCAAGAGTAAGTGACATTTTTTTATTGTTCTTTTATAAATATAATTTCTTTATAATTCTTTTTTATCTTAAAAAGAATATTATTCCAAAATTCATAATCCTATATTTAATTTTGCATTTTAATCATTCAATGTATGTGTGATTGTCAGTATTATACTTTTCAAGTTTTCACCACTTATAGATTACAGTGGACTTATCTTACATGTTCAACCCATGTACATTCCCATATTCTATAAATATTTTTTTAGATACAGTAAAACCTGTATGACTAGATCGTTCGAAGGACTAAATTTAAGGGTTCACTTAGACAATGATCAGCATATAAAGGAATTGCTTTATACCAGTATGCTACATAATCATTATGATCAACTTAGACAGGTGATCAACATGCAGATGTGGTCAACTTAACAGGTTTTATTATATTCCATTTGAAATGTATTCTTGGATAAACTTGAATATTACCATAACAACACTGAGATTGTAATTTTAACATTAAATATTAATTATCAATACAGGGTCACAGCCATACGGAGCGGTCTTCCCTTTGAGTATTGCTGTATGGCTGTCCACAACCTGGTCTTGAAGTAGTACCTTCAGTCTTTCTGCAATATCGCTGATTGAAGATCCACATTCTTGCAACCCTATTACGCGACCACTTTCAAAGTCAGTGAGCTTTTGATAATGGCTTTTTCATTTTCTTAAAGGCATTCTTGACTAACAACAACTCACTATGTCAAAATTTAATGAAAAGTAATGCTCAGAAACTGTAGAGCACATATTCAAAGCAACCCTGATTTGCATGTTCACAGTGGTGATGCTTGCACCAAGAATGAAATTTGAATAGACATCTTTTAGTTGTATAAGTAAGCCTATCTAGTGCAACTCCTTGGTATTATGATTTTTTTATGTCAGTCTAAATGTATGTGAGATAATTCTTTGGAATTTGCTGTTAAAATTTTGTTAATTAAATAATTCTACATTTTTTATAAAGAATTTCGACTGGGTCCTCAGTTGCCCTCGAGCATTTATCCCTGTTTTCCTTTCTTTGAGCACTGCTTTGCTCTTGTATATATAAAAGAACATCTTCTCTAGTAAAATTTATTTATTTGTTTAGCATAGTAAGACCTATGTTGACCACCTCTAAGAAAAAATTAAAAGTACGTTTAGACAAGTTGTCAACTTATAAGGAGAAATTTCATTGTTTTATGTCTGTATGCTACTTGATCATTAAGATCAATTTAGATAAGTTGTCAACAGGTTTCATTGTAACTGTAAATTAAAAGCTGTACTATGCATTAGTAGTGCTTTCAGTTCAATGGCTGCATTGGCTCAGTTGTTAAGGCACTGAACTGTCTTTGTGAAGAACTATGGTTCGATTGTCAGTGTCGGCTTGAAGTCCACCAACTTCAGATCAATGGATACCAGCTTGTCTGGGAATTAAAGGCAGCATGTGCACAGAGTGCTGACCACATGGTTAATATAATACCATTGGTCACAAAATTGTTGAGCTTAACCTCTATGACCCCCATGGCTCATTACGGGCTGTTACTATGCATTAGAATTTACCTTTAAACATATTTTGCTTGAAAGTAATTTTTTTATAATTTAACTTTATGAACTGTATTTAAAAATATATTTATGAACTATTTTATTTTCTATGATAGTAAACTAAATAATGTCAAACTGTGTGCCAATATTTTGCTACTCCTTCATTGCTGCCAACTTGTGTGTGTTCGTATTATAATTGCTGCCAACTTCATAAAGTATTTGTATTATAATACTTGAGGTGTTAAAAACTTTTTAATAATGAAGCTATTTTGCCAACATTTAAAACAGGATTTGCATGTTTTAAATTGTGATTTGAATCAATTTTGATTTTTTTTAAAAAAAGAACATTGATTTAAATAAATATTGATGAGACATTGGTGAAAAATGAGCATTGATGAAAAATAAATCATGAAGTTGAAAATAATTTTATATTATTTATTATTATATTCTTTAGTCTGCGATGTTTTTTAAAGTCGGACTTCATTGAAAATGAATCTTTTATCCAAAGAAATAATGAAAAAGGCTGTATGTAAATTATTATACAGTATAGAACCCGCTATCCGGAAATCAGAAAACCGGAAAACCAAGAAACAGAAACGAAATTCGATAAATTTTCCCGCCATTTAAAAAAAAAAAAATTTTTTTTTCCTCATAAGATTTTAAGATTTTTCTTTCTTTTTTGAAAGATGTTTACCTTACCATCATTTTGGAAATAATCATTAGTGTATTTATTACAACATCGCTTTTTCTTCTTTTTAAGATTATTTCCAAATATTTTTTTTTCCAGTTGGTTTTAACAATAAAAAAACGGCTTTTTGTAGCGATTCAGAAAACCCAAAAAATCATTTATCCGGAATAGCGATGGTCCCGATCGTTCCGGATAATCGGTTCCCTACTGTATTTCATAATACAGTGTAAAGTCGCGTATCCGGAATCAGTGGGACTTCCAAAAGTCCGTATAATAGATTTTTTCGTATAATTGACCCCCAAGGTAAACAAAGCTTAAAATGATTTAATAAACGATCTGAATCTAAGAAGCAAAAAATAAATAAACATTATTTTTAAGGGGAATAATGTTTTAGCATTAGAATATCTAATCAATCAAATATAAAATATTAGAAAAAAAATATTATTGCTGAAAATATGGAAAACGAAAAAAATTTAACAGTTATGAAAATATTAATCCGCCATTTTGAACTAGAACGATTCAAGCAGGAAGGGGAAATTCATGTCATTCTGGAACAAAGCTTAAAATGATCTAAATCTAAGAAGCAAAAAATAAATAAACATTATTTTTAAGGGGAATAATGTTTTAGTATTAGAATATCTAATCAATAAAATATGAAATATTAGAAAAAAAATATTATTGCTTAAAATATAGAAAACGAAAAAAAATTGACATATGAAAATAATAATCCGCCATTTTTAACTAGAATGATTCAAGCAAGAAAGGGAAATTCCCGTCATTCATTAAGGTGGGTAGGTGGAGGAGAAAAATTCATTTCCTCCTTATTTGTGAAAGAAAATAAGTGTAAAGAGGAGATCATTTAAGTTGAGGGTGGGGAAGTAACAAATTATTGTTTTCTCTCCAATCATTGGCTATCAATCAAGCATAAAGGCGGGGCACGCTGATCGGGTTCTCTTTATTTTTTCTTCTATGACTGAAAGAATCTGCTAAAGAGAGAATGTTACCCCCTTTTTCCCCCCGCCTCCTAAATATTACATGGTATGGGGAAGAACGAATGTTTTGTTTCTCAAGGACGTATATCCTTTTAGACCTATTCAAATTTTCCATTTTGACTCCCCCTCCACCTTAACGCTTACCCCGTTTACAGTTTTCCACAGTATTTCTTCTTTCAATAAAAAGGTTCCAGGAAATGCCTCTTTTACTAGCCACCTGCATGGGAAAGGAGGGGAGGGGGACTCAGTTGCGGTCTTTTGAAAACAAATCTCCCTCTTTTTCCTACTTTCCAAGGGAGGAGCGTCACTCAATGATCTTGGTAGATCTTCACTTCCCCTTTCTGGTGATTTATGGGTTCGATGCATAAATCAGAGGTTCAGTGCAATCTAGAAAAAGAGAAAATGTGTCAAAAGACTTTTTTTTTTAAGGAAAGGGGATGATGGAGAGATGTTTATTTTGATTGTTAAAAAGTGTCCGGGAAATCGACCCTTCCGGGAAAGGGACGTCCGGATATGGGACGTTACACTGTAGTCTAATAAATAAAAAAAGAGTGGCATGAAAATACTGTTTCAGTCATAATTTTCTATTAGTTATGTGTAAAAAGATTTAGTGATAATTATACTCATTTAGTTTTATATTTATTTAAATACAAGTGCTTTTAACACTTATTAAATCTATAGTTAATGTATATCAATAATGAAGAAAGATTTGTTCTACTCAGAGAAACTTAGAATATTTTTTTTCCTTTAATGTATTCAGATCTAAACTAATTTACTCTTCGTTGGATATCTAACTAACAAATTGCTTCCTCGTCTTGGGATGTATAGCTTGAGCAAAATTAACCATGATTTATTTATTCAGTAATTAGTTTGTAATAATTGAATGATCATTGTAAATATTTTAATTAGAAATATTAGCAATTTCAGCTTTACTACTGTTTTAAAATAGTATTAATGCATTTTTTTGTAAAATGATTTGGCTGGTAAATATAAAAAAATCTGATTTTATTATTAAAAAATCTGGTTTAAATCAAAAAATCGAATTTAAATAAAATCAGATTTTTTTTTTTAAAGAAAAATATGTTTTTTGCCAACTGTGATTTAAAGCAATAGTATGAAACTAATGTATCCCTTATTTATATGTTTAAATTATTGACTTGTAGAATAAAGTAGATAAAAAAAATTATGATTTAACTTTTGAAATTAAGATTTATACATTAAAATATACATGTTACCAGAAAGTAAAAATTTTCTCAATGACAAGTTGGCACCTATGCTCCATCATTTAATTATTTTAGTTGTTACTGATTTATGGTATATATTATTTTTTTTAAGAAATTAGTACATGAAATGTTCTGTTACAAAGTATGATATCTTTTCAGTGTAAGTTCAATTGTAAGCTGATGGAAGAGCAAGATACTTATGCGGCACCTGTTACATTTCACCAATATCATGGCCGAAATATAATACTCTCTGAAAACAATACAGTTGCATATCGCAAGTCAGGCTATGCATATGGGATTACGTTTTCAAGAGAACCTCTTCAACCAGGTGAAATATTTTTATTAGAAATTGAAGAATTTGAGCATGGTTGGATAGGAAATTTAAGATGTGGTCTAACTCAGGAAAATCCTTCTTCAAATTTTGAACTGCCTCAGTATGCATTGCCAGGTTTAGTTGAAGGTGGACAAAGTTGGATATTGCCTATTAGTTCAACAGACATGAGTCTATTTGATCACACTTACATCAATAATTTATACCCAGCTGTTTATGGTGAGTATGACTTTTTCCAGGATGAAAATGAAGATTTTGACATCCTTTTAAACTGAATTGGAAGATGTAAAAACAGGTTTGAATGTTATGTTCCATTGAGAAATAATAGTAAATTTCCTGTTTTTAAATTTTCCTATTTTAATAAAAGAAAAAATATTCTTTACATGTAGCTTTAAATATCTTAATTTCTTATCCTTGTTCGATTTAATGTTGATTTTTAATGTACAGTGCTCAAAGAGTAAATGGACAACGCTGAAAAACTTTTGATCTAATGATTGGATCTTTCTGTTTAGGAATCAATCTTAATGGTTTAAAGGGGTGACTTTAAATATGCTAATTAATCAGTGCAGACAATATTTTAAGTTATGAAATCAGACACAAAAGCATACTTTCTTTGAATAAACATACATTTTTTCAATAGCCACAATCTGGGAAATATGGTCCCAATAGTTTGTTTTGGAGAGCGGTCAAAAGTATGGACCCCATAATGTTAATTTTACATTTTACGTATTTCATCACATCTCAAAAACATCTTGAGTGAATTGAAAAATTTTTGAACACAATTAAAAAAAAATTTTATCCATACAAAATATAACTTTTAGTAACATTTATAATTTTTTTATTATTTTATTTAATAATGGTCAAAAAAATTCAATTGTAAGGTATACATATTTTTACATCATTTTAATGATTGCCCTTTAAATGGCAAAATACAAAGTTAAGTGAAATCAATCGAATTCTTCCTGAAAAATCAAATTTTAAAAATACGATTTTTAAAAAATCTGATTCCTTTGGAACTATTTGACCGATTTTGCACATTTTTTTCCCATTTAAAATTGCATTCCTTTAAATGGTGTAGAAATTTGTATCTTTAATATATGTATCAATACTCCCCTATACATGACACCATAAAATTATTACATAGTTTAATAATTTTTATATCTTTATCTCAAATTTCTTATTACTAACTGAAAATATTTAAAAAGTTTCATGCATGTTCGTAAAAGAAATATTAAGCTGTGTAGCAAATTTTAATTTCTAATTGTTCCACATATAAAGTAAAATTACCCAATTAAACATTAATAGTATATTCTTCAACCATTATTCACTTTCCACATTTAGCAGGAAATGTAAAATCATCAACTTATATTTTTCATAAGTCTAATATAAAATACTAAGACTATAAAATTCGAATGAATTAGTAAAACAATCCTTTTTTAAAAATAATTTCATACTTCTATGTCATCAGTTAGTTCCTTAACCCTGATTATCAATTTTATCAATCTACAAATTGTTCCAAATTTTTGTACATAATTATTATGCAGACATCAGAATGAAATATAATTTGTTCAATTAGTATTGTACAATAAATAGAGCCAAAAAATATTTTTTTAGTGAAGAAGAATTAAGGCCACTTAAAGGGGTTAAACCATAGTTTCTCATGATTTTTTTTCTTTTTCTGCCTACTTTGCAAGACAAACATTTTCCGATGCCTTCTTTCCCATCAAAAAGAGTCTTACTTGTTTAGTTTGTTTGATATTTTTTGATGTCCTATATTTCTACATAGCTTTTTATTAAAAATGTATTGCCAAAAATGTTTATCTTTGATATTGTTATTTTTATATCAATTGTTATAAAAATCAGTACTTAGGTTCAAAATAATAAAAAAATTCACTTGTTCAAAATTTTACTGCATGTTAGCAAATTCAAGAATTTTGTAGTGATTTTGCCTCCAATAATCAGTATCAAATAGGCTAGAAAAAATTTATTTTACAGCTACGATATTCTTTAAACTAATCTTAGTGCACTATTGGAAATTTTTTTGTATTGTTCAACGGTACAGTGTTAAGATTTTTGACATTTATTTTTTATGTTATGTATAAGGTCAAGGACAGACACTGGAAGATATACGCAGTGCAATTTAATTTCTCTCTAAAATACCATGAAAGTAAATTGAAATAAAAGGCTTTTTACATTCTAAATGGACATACATCTTTCAACCCTAATTGCAGAAGGATCTCCACAAGCCACATTTGTTATAGCCAAGGCTTGTGCCACTTTGAAGGTCAAAAACCCATTAAATTTGTGACCATGAATGTTTGCTATATGGTTGTATACCATTAGTGTGGACCTAATTTATCCACACAGAATACTTGGTGGTTCGCTTTCTAAAAAGTGAAAAAATTTTATTTTGAAAAAGGTGTCAATCTAGATAGAAATTAGGTCTGTTTAAGAACTTTTTTCTAAAATCTGAACCTCAAAAAAAGGACACTTTACTAAATTCTGAGCAGTTGACAAAGTTCTAAACTTCATTACAATTCTTTTATGGAATGATTTTTCTTTAGTTTATGGTTAACATTTTATTTTGTTTGCATTCTTATTTCTCTAAAATTTTCTGACAACAAGTAATAAGTTTATTACAAGCAATAATTTGATAAAAAAAAAATTCTAAATGAATTATGTATTTCAAAATTTGACAGTATATTCTCAGTTGTTATTAAACTTATTTTTCTTTATTAACCAAAATTTTGTCTGTAATCTATAGTTTTATGTAATCAACTTTAAAAAGGAATAATTTGCATCATAATATGGTTGTAAATGGTGGTATATGGTATATAAATTTGGCATTTAATTAAATTTGGTATTATTTGTATATTATGATCTAATAATAGTACCCCATTATTTTTTTTATGCTGTACCAGTTGAAGATCGTAAAAATTCTCTTTCAAAGTATATATAGCCTGACTATTATCTATAGTTTCAGTCTGCAAGTGCCTTCTACTTTATATGGTATTCTTGTAGATAAGTCTTGCTCTAATTGTGGGAAAAGAATTTTTTCCGTAAAAATATTGAAATAGAGTCAATGCTCAGTGTAATGACATTTGCCATTGAAACTAAAATGGATGTTATATAAGTAGTATATAAAAATTAAGCAAAGACTCAACTCAAATCTTGAACTCAAATCTTGTAAAGCTTAATGCATAAAACTTTATTTACACAAAAAAAATTCTTTAATAATATTTTAAAAATTTAAAGAATCTTGTTCTTTATTATAGATCTTTTATTCCCAATTTCAAAAATTTTAAGTAGACATTGTGTTTGTTGCTTATGCTTTTTTTCAAAAACTTTTCAACAATAGGACGCAACTTTTTTTTCTCTACTGTTGCTCAAAAATCTGCTTCTGACATCATGAATTAAAGCAAATAGGACAAAAATATTCATGTCATTTATTTCATATGTATTGTTATTGTATTGTTATATTTATTTCATATTATTGTTATTATTAAAAGCATAAAACTATCTTGCCTATCCTTAAAAAATTCCTAACTATGCAGTTTTTTAGAGCACTCGAGATAGTGATAATATAAAATGTTTCTATTAATGTTTTATGCTTTGTTTTCGAACATAACACTTGCATACATACTTGGAAAAGAAGTTTAATACCATCCTTTTTCTTTTTTGATTTACATCAAAAATTTTTGTCTTTCTTTATTGCATATTTCTATGCTTATTATTTCTGTGCTTTGATTGCAATAATATATTAATTTTCAGAGTAACTGTTTTTTAATAATTTTTCAGAAAGTAACAATTATATTCACACTAGAAAAGGGAGTTTCCCATCAAGTATTTTGCTGCCTTCTCGCCATAAATCTTTAAATTTAGGAGCATCTGATGGAGAAGAATCTGTCAATAGCATGTCCTCAATATTTTCAGAAGAAAGTTCTGATGATAGTGATGATACTGGGTATGTGCATTATGAAACTATAACTTATCAACAAAAGTACCTGAGAAGAATTGACAATTTTTTTTATATATAGTTTTTGTATACAGGAAGTATTGTAATCACTGCTATTAATATGAATTTCTAGAAGTTTTGTAGAAATGAAGTAAAGGAACTGAACAAAGCGCAAAATAAAAATGTTATAACACTTTAATAACGTTTGATCTAATGATCAGAGTAAGATGAAAAAATAATAAATAAACTATCCGCGCACCCAATTCTAAACTAGCTGCAAAATTATAATAATCTTTGGTAATTAATAATTATAAGTAGGTTACAAAACTGGCTCTTTCTTTGTTTTTTATCCTTAGAATTTGTTTGTAAACTATTTTTAATGAATTACAGAAATATGAATCACATTGTTTGATTTTGAAATTGCTCAAATATTAATTGTGAAATTGGGTTTTAAAAATGCATGAATACAAATTGTAATATGGATGATGTTTTCTATATAAATGTAAACAATAACAATCTCGAACTCAATACCTGCTCCAATTCCGGTTAGAAAGTTTGCATCTGCTTACTATAGCTTATTCTGTGAGGCGATATTTTCAAACGGTTAATTTTGTTTTCAATAAAAGAAGTAAATTAGATAATTTCTGAGCTCAAATCTGCCGTATTTCACAAGATATTAATGTTATTAAGTAATTCTAGTGAGTTAGAAGTGAAAATTTGTTTTAGCATTCCCCCTAAAATTCATAAAATTCCTAAAACTATGTGCAAACCCTAAAATTCCTAAAAATCTGATAAAATTTTGTTGGTGTTCCTAAAAAATTAGAGTTATAGGCTAATTATAAATAAAAAAGCAATAATCTAAAATATAAGAATTTAACTACATTAATTAAAACTGTTTTAATTTTGCCACATGGGAATTCTGATCCTGAGAGAGGTTTTTCGATAAATAAAGCAATGCTTAATGTGAGTCACCATGAGAATACTATCATGTCTCTTAGACTAATCAAAGATACCATTCGAAATTCTGGAGGAGTGTTGGAAGATCACCACAACACTATTGAGGGCAGTAAAAGAAACACACAAATCATATCAAGAATATATTAGAAAAATGATCATGATTAATTTGTTTTTCTCTAACTTCTAATATAAATTGCTTATTTGAAATCTAATAATATCACACAATAGTTTTTCGTAATAAAGTAAGGTAAAGGGTAATAATAAAGTTTTGATTAAGAAGGTAAAAATTAAATAAAAATCCAAGTTGGTGTTAATTTATTTTTTCTCTTGATTTATTCTCACTTTTGCCTGTTCCTGAATTATGCACTTAATTTCTGATAGGTAATATGTAAAGTTGAAATTTCATTTTTACACTTTAGAGATTTCATTCTTGACTTAATTTCAGAGCTTTATTTTATGGCTTCAATTGTTTATGATATGTGTGAATGAATTGTAATAATCTTCTGTTATGTAATAAACTACCGTGTGATCTGTTTTTATCCTAGCAAAATCATATATTACCCCTAAAATTTACCTAAAATTTTTTGAAAAAAGTTCCTAAAATTACCCTAAAACTTTAAAAAACTTTGCTGCTACCCCTGTTTTAGTTATTTATAGATATATTGTTAAAAAAGGTGACATGGTTGCTAGATTTTGAATAAATCACTTTTTTGGCTGTCCTGATTTGGCCTCTTTCCATTTGTTCTTTACTGTTTGTTCTTGTTACAAGCTGTGCACCATCTGACGTTAGTGCTAGCACCTTTAGCATTGTAAACACAAGTATTGTTAGCATTGTAAACGCAAGTAATAAGTAATCAAATACCACGTTTTGCAAGAATCTCAAAACACAATGATCACGTTGTGAGCTAAATGACTTAAAAATACACAGAAACAGTAGCCCGGAAGTATAGGCGATATGGAGCTTGCAGCCTTACCTAGTGTAGAAAACACATCCATAGGATTTTTAAATTGTGTGTATAAGATGATGGTGACTCAGTTAAGAAGCTGACTTATGGAAAAAGTACTGGTAAATCAAAAAAGAGAAGACTAAACACCAGATGGATTGATTCTGTGGAGAAAAAAATCTTAAAATCATAGTCATCAATAGATGGTGAAACCTAGTGTCTGATTGAGCTAAATTGTTACAATTTGTTGAGATGGCTCTTTTCTATCATACTGATCTAAGCTATCATTTTGATGGATGAAGAATACTAATCCCTATGTGTGATTTTTCAGTTTTGTGAATACAGATTGTAACATTTGATTTTCAAATCACTGGAATTTGAACATGGTTCACCATGCACAGTGGTGAACCATTTTAAAAAAGATCCGCAAAATTTAAGAATTTCCATGGGTCTATGTTATCTAATTCTGCAAATGATCAGACTACTGAAATCAGTATGCTGATCAGAATCAGCATGCTGAAAATCCATCTTGATTTGAGATTTAACCTTAAATATGCTAATTATTTTATGCATCTGTGCATAAATTAATTACTATGCACAATTTAATGCGCATAAATGAATTTGGATTCTTGATCTTCAAAATATGGACTTCTGCAGAAATCATAAGACCTTAAATGACAGTGGGTATTGGTTGCTATCTTGGTTAGTAACAGCAAAGATTTCAAGAAAGTCAGTGTTTCCTTTAAACATTGAGACTTGGCATCATTGATTAATTGCATCATGAATAAATTTATCAGCTGGTAAGAGATGAGTGGTTGAGAGATTGTTCAGTTGTGACTCACTTTACTCATAAGCTTAGTGTTACCACTCCCAATGAATGAAAAATGTCATATTTTTTATGACATCTCCTAGAACTTTAATACCGTTGTAGATTCAGCTGATCAGGCATGATTGTCAATCTTATTTCATGATTCAGACCTGAAAACTAGAATGTAACTCGCGATCAATACAGTGCAAATTTTAATACTATTTAATTTTCATATTTTCACTCATAAAATTTTTTATTGCAATTAGTGCTAAAAGATTTTAATTTATGAAGTTTCTCGCACAACTTTCTTCAAGAATAAATTTGAATTTTTGAAAATTTTTCAGTAACCACAGCCTTAACACTTAAAAAAGAGTATACTCAAAGGCCCAGAAGCAGAAAGTGCCTAAAACTGTGACGTACGTCGCAGAACAAACGAAGTCCTGCAGAACAATTTGTATCTTGAATAAGTGACACAAATTTCAGCACATTTATCACTAATCTCCCTCTTTTGTGTCTTTGCCATTCTGAGGAGGAAATTAGTGGATTAGGTTTTGGCTATAACTTTAAAATGGGTATATCAGTTTTTAGCATACAGCAGGAGAAATCGATCACCATTTTTATCAAGAGAGCTTCTAAAGCAAACCGTAAAAGAATTAAATTCAGAGATTTCCAATTTTGTAAAGTTTATGACTTTCAAATTTTCCATTCCCATTTCAGAAGCAATTTGTGAATCGTGGGGATCCACGATTGACAGAATTGTTTCTGAAAGACCAAATGCTTTCGATGGAGAGGAAAAAGTTGTTGGGAAAACAGACCAGCGAATGTTTGTGTTCGCAAATGGTGCACCATCTGGGCACTTGTCCCTTCGAAAGATTTTTAAGGCAGCCCTTATTTTAATGTTCGGACCTTATCATATGCATTTTATTAACAATTCATCCTCATCATCGTCATTAACAAAATTTCGTGCTTCAAGAGTGATTGAAAAAGTAAGAAATCAAGAATGTTTGCCTTGGTTTAAAAAATAGGGTATTGTATCTGTGTATAATCCTGTATTTTAATAAATGAAAATATAGTATTTAACTTAAAGTTGACTTTTTTTCGCTGGGAAATGCTTGCAGAACATTTGCATAAATTAATAAGTCCTGTTGCAGAACATTTGAAAATATTCTGCGTAGGCGCTCAAAGGTATTTTTTAACTCTAATGCTAGCATAAATCATGCATTGAAATTCAAAATACTCCTAAGAAATCAGTCAGACGAATTTTCACTCCTGAAATTAACATGATTTTTTTCATCATCTGAAAACATCTATGACTTAACAGTAAAACTGTTAGAAATATTAACTCTTAATATCAGAGCCAGGACCTGAATTTAAAGAGTAAAATGTAAATGTTGTTTGAGATTTCAAATTTGATAATGCTGTAAAATTATGTCAAGTGAGAAAAAAAAATGTAGAAATTTTAAATGAATATATTTTATTTGCTTGTTTTATTTTATTTTTCTTTATACAAAATTTATCTAATGTACTAAATATAAAAAATCAAAATTGTTCACAATTCCAGTTTCGCAATCTTATATTTCATCCATAAGAGCTTAGTTTCTTTTTAATTATTTTTTTTAATGAAATTGAGTAACTGTTATAAAGAATATATTGACATCAGGTTATATGTTGAACACAATTAAAAATTATTAATTTCTGTTTTAGAAAATACATGTATCCAGCAGATGTTGGAAGTCGTATTGGTGTAACATATGTGATACGAAATAACTTTGCTGAGATGTACATGTTGTTAAATGGAGATGTTTTTGGGCCATGTGCTACTGGTATACCTTACAGACGAGGTCCTTTATATGCTGTCATTGACCTTTATGGTACCACTAAACAAGTTCGCATAATTCAGACAGTTGGTAGTAAGTATATTTTTTTAATCATTTAATTGTATGTAAATATTTAAAACATCCCAACTAGATTCATTAGCAAATAGCTCTGATCAGCAAAATGTTACTTTTTGTGTGTTAAATGAATTCGAATAGCTGTTTGTTATGGAACATTTTGCTCTAATTTTCAACTATTGTATGGAACCTTTTATCTAGTATCCAAAAAACCATGAAAATTTTGTTGGGTTTTCCTACAATTTTGAACTAGAATGATTGAGGCGAAATGTGGAAATTCCTGTCATCCTTGAAGTTGAGTAGAGGGACAGGAATGGGTTTTTGATTTACGAGGGGGAAATGCATTACACATGCTCATTAATGAACAAAATGTGAAAATGTAATAAAAAAATACAATGCTCTATTTCACTATGTAAATATAATTAAGCAAAAAAAAGTGAAGTGGAAATACAAATTTTTATTTGGAATATGTAATTGGGTAAAATAGATCTATTTTTTAATCAATAATTTAGGAATATAGTTTGCTGTTCAATATAAAACCTTTTATCCAGTTTCCAGACACCCGGGAAAAACTTTGCTCTGTTTTCCTTCCATTTTTGAACTAGAACTGCTGAGTCACCCTTGAAGTAGAGGTGATTCTTATTCTCCTCGTTTAATCAAATATAAAGGAGTGGAAGACTTGGATAAAATGAAATGAACCCAAAATATAAATGAAAAAGCTTTCTGTAACCAAATTATTGGCTGTTGTAAATAGTTTCAGCCCCTTCATTGCCACCCAATTCTGACAAAATTTTTCCAAAAACCACTAAATTTATTAAAAGTTTTAATTCCTATAATATTTAATCTTTAAAAAAAACCTTAACTCTAGAATAGACATGCTTAATCAAATCCACGTTTTAACAAGATGCGCCAAAAGTTTATTATTTAAAATCGTGCAATGTGACCTAAAATGGATAATATATAATATATGTAGGAGCAAGTTCGCAAACAGAATGCTGACAAACAGCTCTCTCTGCCCTACAGAAAAACCAACAGCTGTCTGTCTAACTCTTGATTCTTGGAAGCGAAATGGAATGATGTAGTTGTGGGGAAAGGGGGACTGTGCAAAGCAGAGAAAGATATTTTCCTCAAATCAGTCGCTGCGAGATTGATTGTGGGGTAGAATAGAAGAATTTTGACCATTTCTTTTTGTTTTATTTATGTTTGTTATTTTTTTATTTCTAAAACGAAATCAGCATCTCTTAAACAACATCAGATGAAATTAATGATTTCATTTTTCTCTCCGACTTTCGAGGAGGAAATATCAGCAAAAAGGTGGTAAGGAAATTGCTAGAAAAATATATCTCTATGCTTTACGACATAAATATAATAAAGTAAGAGTGAAGTGAAAATACAACTTTTTTAATTGAAATACTAAAACGGCTAAATAGAACTTTTTTTATTCAATATTAAAGTAGAAGTATAGTTGAGCTGTATTAAAAAATTTTTTAGCGATCCAGAAAACCGGGGAATTCAGACATCCAGGATAGCAATGGTCCCCAACATTCCAAATAATTGGTTCTCTTTTGTGTTCTCTACTCTATTTTGTTTGAAGAATATTCTTTTTTAGTATCCAGCAATAGTCTTCAAGGATGCATAGTTTTCATTTTTTTAGATAATAATTTTCTAATGTTGAAATATTTTATTGGAATTACTCGCCATGCCCATTGCTTTTCATGGGAAAAGTCCAAATGTGAATTCAGATAATGTATTCTCAGGGACACGATACATCCCGGAGCTTCATAATTTTAAAAGAGTTCTGTACCCAGTTCTCCATAGATCTCAGCTTTGCTATTGCCAAGAAATTCACTTATAATCTTCTTAAATGGTTTATATGCAGCGTTTTCAACATTATTCACTTTTGTGAAAGTCATTATCCTTTATAAGCCTCTTTACTTGCATACTAAAATATATGCGCTTCATTTTTACTCCACTCTTACTCAACCACTTTTATCTACTATCTTATCAAAATGTTGAATTAATTCCAGTTTAATATGCCTGGGAGTACGATATGCATGTTTAGATTTATGAGCAGTTGAGAAATTATATTTTGCAGGTATTGGATTTCTTTTAACTCATTATTTTCTTGACAACAAGATTTTTGCGATCTCTGCTATCTTCCTTGCTTATCCTGACTAAACATAACAAAAATACTGTAACTTTTAATCGTCATATATATTCCAAGAAAATTGTTGGTGTATTTCAGATAGCAAATCTTCTTGAGACTCTTTTATATAGTTTGCATAAACAAGAGAAATGAAAAGTTTTAATTTTCATTATGAAGAAACATGACTTTTTAACTAAGTTTAGAAAAATCCATAAACAACCTTCATTTCTTAGGACCATTACTGTCTTCTAATCCATTTAGTAAAGAATGAACATCAGTACAATATGCTAAATTGATTTCTGTGAAAAACAAGCATTGAAAATCTTGTTGAATAAGAACAGATTTTAGTTCCCTTCTAAAGGAGATTTCAATCCTTCAATATGAAAGTCAACTGCTCTGCCTGATTCTTTGACACATTTAGATCACGAACAAGATTTTCAAGTTCTGACTGGTTGGTTTTCTGTTCTCTATATGTTCCATCAAATTCTGGGTCTTAAATGTCCTATGTTTCTGGACTGAATTGTAAATCTTCATTACTAGAGTTTTCTGAAAGTAAACTTTTGACTTAAGGATTAGAAACTCATTGCTGTAAACTTATTTAAAAAGTAAATTTCTACATTATGAAAGTGCTACAGAGATAAATGCATACATATTGTATGACTTTCTACTTGAGTTAAAATAATTATTACTTAAAATAATAGTTTGAATATTTTGTTCTACACATTCTTTTCTATGTGTTCCCAACTTCAGTTTAATTACTGCCCCAAGTATGAAAAGTGCCGACGAAACACCACAAATGGTTCTAGTCGAATACAATATAACTTCAAGATTACAAAGAGCACTCTTTTTCTACAGAACAGTAAAATTTAATTGCAGTACCGTTTCTTTTAGGGTCAATAAACGAAATATCATCTTAAAAAATCTGTGTGTGACTTTATTAAATTTAATAAGGGTTTCCTGATTTTCTTCTAAGAAATCGCAAGCAAATAAAGAAAAATTTTTGGTTTGTACAAAATGTAATAACTCTTATAATATATGGATAATTCAATTAAAGAAATGGAATAGTTTTTCATCGATTTGGTTAAAACTATCGTTTTGTGATTACTGTCCCTACCCTGATATGTACTTAAAAGGGCAGCAATTCCTAAGGGGTACATAATAACTTTACTATATGGGACACCTTAAATGTGTTTGATTTGTTTAGTTATGTTATTACATATTTAGTTCCTCTTTTGTCAGATTTTAAACTGTTTTAAAAGAATATTATTATTTTACAATAAGAATATTGTTAGTAAACATATGGATACAAAATTTTAAAACTTAAGTAAAAATTTATGTCTTATTAATATTAATGATCTTATTACAGTAGAGAACCATTTATCCGGTATCCAGATAACCGGAAAAAATTTTGATCGATTTTCCCGCCATTTTAAACTAGAACGATTATGAAAAAAGCGGAAATTGAACTCATCCTTGAAGTTGAGTAAAGGAAAATGTAAGGAAGGGGAGAATTTTACCCCCCCGTTTACCCAGAGAAATGTCATTTCCTCCGTGACCTTGAAGGCAGGAATGTTTTATTTTCTCCTTTAGGCCGTCAATCAAGCTCAAGGGTGTGGCATGCTGATTTCGTTTTCTGTTTGATTTACGAGGGGGGTGGGGAAAATGCATTGCATGCATATCAGTGAACAGAAAAAGAAAAGAGAAAAATATATTTATTTGACATCGACTAATAAAAATAAAATCTTTTTCTTTTGAATAAATTCTCATTCTTTGGAAGTGCGGTATCAATTGCAAGTTTTTCTTGGTGTGGAATCACATCTGCTGTAATTAAAAATCTTGTTTTTATCAACAAAAAAAAAAAAAAATAAAATGAAAGGAGAATTGTTTATTAATTTAAACATAGGATTATTTTATGAAGCAGATTGCAGTTTTGTTTTTCTGATTCCACTACGTTTGATTTTTTTTCTTTTCGCGATAAATTTCGCACTCAATAAATTAATTCTTTTTATTCATAAATTTTATCATTAGGTTTTTTTTTTTTAAATTCCGTTGATCTTGCCTTGTTCCGGGTTTTAATATTTATGCTAGTGCCTTTTTTAACTATCGTTTCGGTTCGATAATTTTCAAGTGTTTTTATTTAGATTAATAAGTTTTCCTTTTATTTTATCGTTTCCCCCGTATAATTAGGTATGAAATATATTGCGTTATTTAACCATTGGTTTTGTTTATATTAGTTAATTTAGGAATTGTAATTATTTTTAAGAAATAAATACAAGAATTTTGTATTTTTTAAACTTGTTTTTCTTGTCTAAACTTGCAAATTTTTTTATTCTTTTAAATGTTATTTTTCTACCGTTTCTTTTTTCTTTTTAAAGTTAGGAGTATCTTTCTTTTTTCTCTTACTTTATGCATTACACCTTTTCCTTCTAATTTGGGTTCAATAAAACATCGATTAAGGACACTTTTTGGTCGATCCAGAAAACCAGGAAATTCAGACATCCAGGATAGCGATGATCCTGAGCATCCCTTGATAATTGGTTCTCTACTGTATTATTATTGAGAGAAAATTAAAAAATCAACTTATAAATATTTAGATAGTTATGAAGGTATTCGGTTTTGTATTCCAACGATTGTTTGATTATAAAATGAAAATATTAACTCAGTGAAGTAAATCTGAATGACTAAAAAGAATTTTTTGTTTTCAAATTTTTACTGTAGTTTTATTTTTTAATTGAAGTTCAATTCACATTTTTGTGTTCCCTTTTTACTCTTAATAAGAATTGAATAATTTAAAATGTTTGCATAATTGCTTTAAGTTATAATTTTAACAAAAATAATATCTGAATTTTGTAATTTTAATTTTTTTATTGTTAGTTTTTATTTAAAATATTGTGATTATAAATAAGATATTAATTACTTAAGAAAATAATTTTTTTAAAAAGTATTATAGAAATTTGCGAGTTCAGTTTTAATTACTTGTTGACGTTTCTTAATTTTGGAAAAATTGTATAAATATAGGTGATAAAAAGAAGATCAAGTATAAAACTTCTACCCTTACTCTAGTAAAAAGCTAACTGAAATTTACGTGGTAGTTTGGATAAAAAATTTAATTGGTTGCAGGCAGAAGATATACAAAAAACTTAATTATGTTTCCTTTTTAAAAAATGCCACCAAAGCCATTTTTTACTTATTTTTAAAACAAAAAAAATTTAGATGAAATATCCAAATTATATTTAAAAATTTAAATCAAACAATATCTATTATGTTATAAAATTATTATTGAGCAAATGGTGGAGTTAAAAAATATATATCTTATAATTGAAAAAAAAATAGTGGTGTTTTTCCAGTTTATTGTCATCTCTGTCCTGGCACATAAGCAAATTTTAAAAATACAAGCAAGAGTTTTGGTTTTAGTTATGCGTTTGCTTAAAAAATGTGATCTTACTTTAGATAATAATGATAAAAGTGATACAAAGATGTTTTTACAATAAAAAATTTAAAATTGATTAAAAAATTCTTGAATATTTCTTCCAAATTCTAGACATAATCTAATATTGCCATAAAAAATATTATTTAAATTTTCAATGAAATATTATTTAAAATGTTTGTCTATATTTACTTATTAATTCCAGATTCATTGAAAAAAGTTAAATATTTTCTATATTGCATGTTTGATGACATGATTAAATACATGTTTGATGTGTTTTTAAAGCGTTTTTGTGAGGTGACAGTAATTATGTTTTTCCATGCAATTACAATTTAAAACTCTCACTAAATTTTTATTTTTAAAGTTTATTCATTGCTGGTCATTGATTTATATACTTAAATGTTAAGTCTTGATGTAAAAATTATCTACATTAAGTTAATTATAAGATAAATTTTTCTTAATTGTCTTTGGCAAAAGACAAAATCACCTTAATATGTTATTGAGAGAGCATAAACTTTATCATTTAAAAGAAAGTTTCCTTTGCATTCTACTTTCATTTTTTTAACATTAATTTATAAAACAATTCATCTAAATTTTATTTGGTTATGGAAAAGAAATTTTTAAGTTATCGGAAGTTAATATTAGTCCACTAAGACTGATCACAGTTTTGGTTTTATTCAAACTACGTAGTGATTATATCTTGGGACAGTAAAGCCTATTGTACCTTGGGTCATGTTCTTAGGTATAACATATGTAAAATTTTTAAAAACTTATTTCTATATCTTTTAATACAAAGAATTATGTTCTAATCTGTTGCAATCTTTAAAATATAGGAACTGTATTTTAAAGTATAATTATATTTTAGTTTAATATGTTATGATATTTTTATTATTTGTTTTAATCTATATAATATTATGAATTTGGGCACAGTGAATTTATTCCTTGACATGCAATTTAGATTCAGTAAATGATTTTTCTTTCCTTTTTCTAAAACATTTTGCTTCCTTGACCCATAACCAAATAAAATTCCTTTGATTAACTTCTAACTCCTCCCTTCTCGCCCTGTCAAAATCATGGAAAGGAGGATTGTGCCTTCTATTTCTCTTCTTGATATTTCCAGGCTCAAGTTTTCAAGAGTAATGTGCCAAAAAGCGTCAAATAATTCTTATGCCCCAAATCATATCTATCTCTCAATTACTAATCCAAGTGGTAGCACCAAACTATTTGTAATATACAGTAGAACCTCAATTAACCGAGGTTTCTGTTAATTGAGCCGATAATAAAGTATGTTTTTCCCCCCTGATATTCTTGTAGTATAATCATTGCGAAAAGTGGTCTCTGTAATTCAATAACTCTTGTTCATTGTTGTTCTATATATAAATTAATAAACCATAATTAATGAACAGTAATTAATGAACTATAATAAATAATTTAAAAACTATAAATTTATGGAAAAAATTTCGTATATATAAAATTACCATAGGATATTCCTGCAAGACATTGCTTATGGTAAAATTTTACCATATACTTTTACCACAAACTTATTTCCCATATATACTTATGGCAACAATTTGCCAAAAGTTGAAGGCAAAGTTTTACCGTAGGCAAATCCTCATAGGAATATCCTAAGGTAATTTTTTATGGCAAATTTCCCTGAGTAGAATGAGCCCTAAAAATGACCACGCATTTTAGTTCACTGCCCGTCTCTACTGCCTCCGAAAATACTCAACTTCCAAGAAATATTACAGCACTCTCAGAAATCAACAGTGGCAAACAATGCTTTGTTTCCACCAGGTGCAATGTGTTATCGGACTGTACTTTTGTAACAATGCACTTTTGCAACAAAGGCAACAGAATATTTTAGGAAATGGTAAAGCAAAATTAACAAATTAATGTATATTAAATTCATTAAAAAAATAATTTCTTAAGATTTGTGTTATTTTTAAAAATGCATCTTTTAGTTTAATTTTAAGAATAATTAAGAAAAAAATTCAATTTTCTGTTTAAAATTTATTACTAGTAGTTAATTTCCTTTTTAAATTTGTTGAACTGCCAAACATAACTTTATATATGTTTATTTTTATCATTTAAAAAACGTTTTTTATTTCAAATGATGTTGAATTAGCGAGCAAGGTGAGGTTTTAGATACAGTTTCTATTAACCGAGATTTCTGATATCCGAGGTACTCGCGGTCCCAATTAGGTTGGATAATCGAGGTTCTACTGTATTTAAAAATAGTTTATTTTAAACTTGATGTCAGTGCTCATGAAACATGTGAGCTAAAAATTGACCGAAAAATTAAAAATAAATACATATGTTGTACATACACTTAGTTTCTTATAATTTTCTTAAATTAAAAAATAGCCTTTTTTATGACTATTTTCTTTACAATTATGCAACCATTAAAGGAACAATAAAGTTTTTAATTTGTTAAACACTTTTTATGAAAAGTAATAATTGTTGATGTTCCTTCATTTATGAAAAATAATGCTTGCAATATCAAATTGGAAACATAAATTTTATAGTGTCAGTTGCGAAAAAGAAATGCAAACACATTGTACTTTTCTTCTATTAATGTCCTAAATTCATTGGTAATTTTTATTGTCTTTCTGTTTTCAGTTCCCTCACTGAAAATGGCATGCAGAGACAAAATCCTTCAACAAGTGTCTCACTCAAAAGTCTTCCATTTACCCCTACCTAAGCGACTAATCCAGTTCTTAACTTATAAATCTTGACGGAAATGAGACATGTGGATTATTTTCTTGTAACTCAGAAGGAAGCTTAAAAGTCTGCAAAAAATTGCATTTTGTTAAAATTCAAATTTTTAATGGTTATAAATATAAAGATGTATATATAGTTTTGTTAGAGACTTAAAACTTATCCTAAACATTTAATCAAACCATACGTAAAACTAAATTCTTGTTTTGTTTTAAATCTATATAACCCATTTTTCTTTCTTATTTATATTTATTGTTATTGTAAGCACTGATACTCTGTGATACCTGTACAGTTTTGCGGGAAAAAATGTTTATAGTTTAGTTATTATTTAAACATATCTTATTATAAAATATGTTTTACATTGTACTACATATCAATTTGTTTTAATTTGATATGAAAAATTATTTTATTTTATGTCATAAAAGCTGTTTCAACATAAATTATTCATAATAGATTCAGTAATCATCATCAAATAACAATAGAAGACTTTATAAAAAATTCATAGTCTAAAAAACGCTTCTAATAATGCACATATTTTGTGTGATTCACTTAAATATAAATATCATTAAAAATGTATGTATGCAAAATTACTTTAAAATTTTTGTTAATTTCTATTTAAAAATTTCTTACATAGTGTGCCAAAAAATTACACCACAATTAACTTTTAACCTAATAGTCAAATTTTCACATACAGAGGTGCATCTTAATTATGTTAATTACAGTGCAGACAATAGTTCCAATAGTTTAGTCAATTTAGAGGCCAAACGTTTGAACTCCATTTTGTAAATATTACTTTTTGCATATTTCATATCGGATTTGAACTTTTTATGCTAATAAAAAAATTCTCCAATGCAATAATAAAACTTTCTTTCCAAAAATAATTACGTGTAAAAAATAATTTATTATTTAATGTAATGTTTCCAAACTTTTGAATTTGAAAGTATTAATAGCTTTACTAATATTATGCAACTTGAAATAAAGTTGGTTGAGTAGTTCTGCCAAAATAAAAAAAAATTAGCATTTTTCATATTTTATTTTTTTGAGAACTTCTGGCCTAGTTTTATTTAAATATTAAGTTTTTGTTATTTAAAATTACATAATTCCAAGATTATGTAATAATTTTTACAATTTAAAAATTTTAAATTTATAACAAATAACTAAAAACTATATTTTCCAGATTATGACTACACCCATCGAAATCAGAATTTATTTGTAGGAGAAAAATTGTTTCTTCCCCAAAATTACACTTTTGTATGCATCTCAATAAATTGGCATTTTTAATATTAATAGCCCTTAAACCATTAAAATATCTTTTTAGTGTGTGAAGATCCTTTCATTAGATCTAAAATTATTCAATATTAACAATTTTTCATTGTGTCCTCTTTTTTGTGCACTGTATATGAGCTTTTTCATTGTGTAAAATTATATTAGGTTGAGACTGGTGAAAAAGTTTTTTTGAAATACGCCCCTTCCTCATAAAAAAATAACTTTCTAAACGCTATTAAATTATAATTTACAACCTGCAAGCTCAAATTACATTTCAATTTCAAAATAAATAAATACTTTTTAAACAAAAATTTGAAAGCTTACGTGTAGGAAATGCATGTAAATAGAAGTTTTTATATTAATAAATGCTTGGGGTGAAACCATTATATTTTGTGTATGCTTTAAGTTGAAGTGATGTAGCTATTCAAATTTCAATGTTGTAGTTTATGATAAAATTTGTATTTAGAAACTTAATTAAAATCATGTATGAATGTAATTTACACATTCCACACATTTTTAATGCAATTTTTAATTAAAAAAAACTCTTTCACCAGCCAAATATAACTTAAATCAATCATCATGTTAAAAACATTTAACATTATTGCCCAGGTATATTTCACCTAAGTCAAATGTTTTTACGTTATCTCTGTTAAAAGATGTTCTGCAAATACTGTAAGCATTAAATGATATTTAAAAATCAGTGGTATGATTTATTTTCCAATCTGAGCCAATTTCTTATAGTTTTGTTCTTATTTCCTTCAAAACAGTCATTTTACCCGGGGTTTCCTGAGCCTTATTTCAAAATTTAATTTTTCTGGCATTAGTGAGAAATCTGATTTTTTTTTTCTTTGAGTTTTAATTGTGGTAACATTAGATAAAATACAAAACTTAAAATAAGAGTTGCTGGGATTTTATCAAATCTTACATTTATAAAGAATTGATATTCAACAACTTTTCAAATCACAAGTTCATTATTTTAATTACTGGTTAGTATTTTCACTGGCGCTCTCTACTCATATAAAATATCCAGTCTATGTAGCTACACATCTATCATTTAAGAGGTCATACACTATCATTTTTTAATCACAAGACCAGCAAGGTTATAAAATTCAAACTCTGTTTATTTCATTTCACTGGTCTGAAGTCATTGCAGAGTAGTTAATTATTTAATCTGTATTTAGAAGTAACTTATATTTTAATGATTTCATTGAGATTCAGAAAATTATAAAACAGTCATCACTACAAATTGTTTCAAAACCAATGAAAAATACCGCATCAATAACATTAAAAAGTTGCACACACACCAAATTGTCCCTTAACATTAAATAGGTAAAAAAAAATATGCTACACCAAAACCAATCTATTTTATTACTTACATTTTTTAGTTGCCAGTTTTTAGTTATGCATTAAAACAGCTCAGCAAGGAAACTTTCACACAAATATGCCTAAGTAACATGACTGTTAAATATTTTGTTATAATACTTTATGCCTTTTCTCTCTTTCTCTAGTTTCTAACTTGCTTTTTTTAAACTGGAGAACATATTTTTTTCATATTTGGGATTATTAAATGGAATTCTTTTTATTGTTATATGGAATTATTTTTAGTTTTATTTATTATATTATCTTATTTATTATATAATGAATTACAATGAATTTACCTAAGTTTCAAATACCTCATTTTTACAAATATTTCAGTAAACACACTGTTGATAGCTTATGCAGTTTGAATTGATTGCCGATCATTTATTTAATAATAGTTTTTATTTATTTTGAAATAAGTCTTCAGAAAGAAAACTGCAATTAAAATTTTTTATTGATTGTTATGTACATGCACGATGCACTCTCCTTAAAAATCTGCAATAATTTAAAACATGTATATCTTTCAATTGTAAATAAAATAATTTCCTTGATTTTATGTAACTATTATTTATGCCTATCTTATTTACCTTGACGACTAAATTTCTTTTTGTGCTTGCCCAAACATACTAAAAACATATATATATAATTGCAAGTGGTTTGTAATCTGACTACATCTTTTATTTCATATTAATTATTCTGAATGAAGAAAGGCTATACTTTGTTCTATATATGAATAAAACTGAAAATGAAATAAAGCACAAATAACTCCACAAAAAACAGACATATTCTAGTTTCGGTTGTCTCCGACTTTAATTTTTGATAATGGACAAATAAATTTTATTAGTAAGTCTAGCAAGGGATTTTATTAGCCTCCAGACCAGAGCCAGGAAAACAAGGAGTGCCTAAAACTAAAGTTTTATGGAAAATTGTTGCACCACCATTCCTGTCTCTTCCAGGCATTTCTAAATGGATTATTTTTAAACAATATTTACAACTTTTTTTCAAAAATAAATGTGTTGTTGATAGTGTATTTTAACTGTCATTTGAGTTAATTTTTACTTCTAGGTCACTCCTGCCCCCAACAGTCACAGAAGAGGAACTAAAAATATATTATTGATAGAACACATAAATTTAAAATTTGAGAAAAATTTCTACTCTTAATAGTATAATAAGAGTATAAATTAAGTTTAAAATTTTTTTTTAATATAATTTGTTTTATTAACAATTTAAGATCGAGGAAAATATGCATTTTTCAGCTTTTCTTGTGAAGTTTTATTATATTGTTTTAAACAGTAAATTGAAAAGAATGTTTTTGTCCTGATATTTTGAAGGGTCATCTGCTTAATGTTTTTACATTGTGTAAAATTATTTTAGAAGAATTTATCTAACAATAGCTCCATATTAATTTATCATAGACGATAAATTAATATGGAGCTAATTTTTATTAAAAAATACTTCATAAATAATGTATATACTTCTCTTAAATCTCACACTTTCAGAAAAATCATGCTCATATAATAACAGAACCTTTGTGAAAAAGCCTGAAAATAAATGGGAAACAATTTCATGCATGGGACTTTACGAGTATTTTAAAACTATAAATAAGTTTGTCAAAAGTTAATTAAAATGTGTTGTAAACAATAGTAGCTGTAAGCTTATTTCGGAGTATTAAACAGAATTTTTAAAAGAGTTAACCATGTATAGTTATTTCTATAAATGTGTAGAATAGACCTTAAAAGCAAGCTTTTCTTTTTCTGATGATGGTCGCCTATTTTTTTTTTTGTACCAACTACACACTTTGCAAAATATCTGATGAATGAAGTGAAGTTTCAGGAAAATTCATAAAATTTTATACAGAAATATTAAATTCTGCAAATCAAATTTTAAATTCTGAAATCATTTTATATAAGTTGTTCTAGACATAATCAAAAATCAACCACTTTTAAAATAAATTGGTGCAGTGTGCTAAGTAATTGCACAAAGCTAAAAAAAAGTGGGTTTTTTTCCGTATACCATCATTTTGCAATTTTCTAAGAAACAAGGTATCTTATATATATAAAGACAACACTATGCTATAAGAATCTTGCACAAAACTATGAAATTTTTAAATCTTAATATTAAAATTAGTTTCCTACAAAGTAGATGTAATATTCAAATATGAACTGTGCATAGTCTGAAAAAAATTCTGTTACATAGTAGATATTTTAAAAGATAATGATGTCAGTAAAAGGTAATCTTGAAATGCAGTAAATAACAAAGTAGAACCAAGATTGAATGATTTAAATTGTACATAATGAAACTTCATATTAATATTCCAATGTCAAACAAAATAAAAACTGTCTAAGAAACAAATTTTAAATCTTCGTAATTTTGATCGTAAATTTAATTTTTAATCTTGATTCATATTTATTTCATCATTTTTGTTTCTTATATTTCTACTTAAAAACTTAAGATTAATAAGGAAAAAAAATTCATTGCATGAAAATATTTTCAAGCTTTTGAATTAAAACATCTGTGGCAGTGATCATTTCCCCTTTGTAAAATTATTTATCTTACTAAATAATTAACATGAATGGGAAAAATATGAAAACTTTAGATAAGATATAGTGTGTAATTATACGAACAATTAAAGTAAAACATAAATAGAAAGCAATTTATTGTGATTTCACCAAAAATTGAATAAAGTAAAATATTCTAATTTATCCACACCAACCACATAAAATAGTAAAAATAATAAAAATATGAAGAAAAAATGTATTTTAGATTATATATCTAATATTTATACAATGTTTAAAATATTTCAACAATGAAATAATTTATACTAATGAAAAATATTACACAACTGCTTCTAATCAGTGCTAACATTTAAGATATTACAAGAAGCAAACTTTGCAGGCTTTGTAAACATTGGGTCTCAGATTAACATGGAAAGCACAGTATTCAATAAAGCATATTCATAAATCTCAACATGATAAATGCTTTAGAAATAACACAATCACAAATAGCATTAAAATATTCTACATCCAATCAGATCTTTTACATAAACTTGATCATTAAACCGAATATTAATACAGTGAAACTGGCAAATATGACTGCTATTAACAAAAATGAAATTTATTATGATAAGGAGAAAAACCTTTGTAACCTGACCACTTGCCTATCATGTATGTTAACCACTCAAATAAATCAAATAGGGGTATAATTAAATGCTATTCTAATCATTTCATACATTGACCAGAAAAAGAAACTTTCCAGAAATCTTTTTATATCATTAAGTTTTGTAATTAAATTTTCACTGAATTAGTGAAATATTATTGAAAGTTAACCGATACTCTTTGACCAACTTACTATATGACAAACTATTGCAGGCTTTGGCTTATAAGTTTTAAAACAACAAGGGCTTCAAATTAACAAAATAAATTTTAAAATATTGCATTGATATTTGAAAAAAATATTTTTAATAAATAGCTGGATAGCGTAACTTACAAAATATGCATATCTATTATTCTTAACTGACTAGCTTAATAATTAATTTTAAAAATCAAAATTTATTCTACAATTTATCTTAAAAGTTATACATACTTAATAGAATTAAAACAGTCATATTAAATAAATTATCTTATTTTAATTTAAATTGATAAAATATAAAAATTATGCGAATAAAATGCACAATATGATTTCTATATACAATAAGAACATGATATATGAAACTATTTATTATTTTTTTTTAAAAAGAGACTAATCACTGTATGAATGAAGAAATGCACAACAAATGGTCAACATCCACAGGTTTTACTATATAATATACTCACATTTAAAAACATGCAGGTAATAGACACAAAACAATCCTTCAGGGTTCAAGTTCGAATTAAACAGAAAAATGTTTAGTTGAAAAAAGCAAACAAAAACAATTCAACAAAGAGAATATATTTGTGATATTTGTACTGGCCCTGCGCCAATGATATACCAATGTTCATATTATGAATGATAAATTAAAATTTTTCTAAATTTGTTTTTTTAACTAAAATTGTGAAAACCTTACTTACTATTAAATCATACTTATAAATGCAATAACATTAATATTTCTAGATATCTTGCACAAATCAACTTATATCAAAATTATAGAATTATTAGGAAATGTTAATTTAATTCTTAAAAATGGTTATTCACTGTCCTCCCTAGTGTTTTTAAAAAGGGCAACTCTCCTCCTTTTAATCTGATAAATGTGCCCTTCTTGATTTCTTTTTGTAAAAATAAACCACCATCCCTTAAATACCTTCTTATTTTTTTCAGGAAAAGGTTGTTTTCTTAACCACCTCTTCTAATGAAAAGTCTGCTTCTGATTTACTTAGTTATTGATAATTATGTAACTTTAATTTCATTCTTTAATTTTTCTTAGGTTGTCTAGTTATATAGTTAAAATTCACAGAAAATTCAGCCCCAGACATATATTTTATTTGGTGGGAATAGGTTAATGATTTTAAATTATGTAATTAAATAAATACCTTTTACTTAAAATTGCACTTTTAAATGTTTATTTTCTCATAATTTTCTGTTTGAAATATTAAAAAAAAAGCTTTCAACTTGTTTATCAATTAATAATTTTTTTAGTTTACTTTCTCTGAAGAAAATTTATATACAGAGATTGTCTTTTAATTACATTTTTTAAAACCTTTTAATTTTTCAATTATTTTGATAATGAGTGAGAATTATTTTGCGAAATATACTCACAAAATAGTTTAAGAGCACAAGTTAAAAACTGAACTTTCAGTTATTACGTAATATTACACATTTTGATAAATTTTAATAGCAGTAAAGGAGTGCCCTTTATTCTTAGGGAGAACTGGTTATTTACACTAAGCCCTCAAATGTAAAATTTTAAGGACCACCAATGTTGCATATGTAAAATTTAAATGATAGTATAAAATTTAAAAAGAAAAAAAAAATAGAAATTTTAAATGTTAATCAAAGATTAACATAGAAAGATAACATTTATACGGTCCTAAAATCTCCAACACCAGGTTAAACTTCTTTTTAAACAGGGCATCCAATAAAAACCCATTTGATTTTCTTAGTTGCATCAGACCCCACATTTTCTTGCTTGAAAAGAGCAGGAAATCTTCTCATTAGTTGAGCAATATTTTTAGGAGTGATATTGAAATCTTTTCGTCGCAAATGATTGCGTATGTCACTCAGGGTGGCTCCAAGTCTTTCTTTTAAATAAGTAGACAATTCAGTGACTATCTTAGCCTCTGTATTACTTAAACTATTTTCTTCCTTACTTTCTGAAATTTCTTCTGATCTTGGTTTTCTCAGTTGAGCATGGATGATTCGCCAATCTGCCAATTGTGCTTCATACTCAGCACATTGCCTTTGTGCTGCAGAAACAGATTGTTTCAAAATATTTATTTCATGTTGCTGTTCGATCCTCTCATTAACTAAAGCAAGATTTGCAACATCAAGCTGAAGCTCAAGATCTTCTTTCTCTTGTTTTAGTTTAACCAACTCTTCTCTCGATATAGTTTCAAATACAACCTTCTTTTGGGCAGAACGTTTCTTCTTCTTATTCCTAGCTTTCTTTTGCTTTTCATTGTTTATTTCAACCTTTGCTTCCTCAAATTCTTTTTTCCATTGTATAAGATTCTGACGTTCTTTTTCTGGAAAATTGACAAGAATGGAATCGAAATTCTCATGGTTAAAAACTTGTTCAAGAACACTTAAGTAATCACCAATTTCAGAGACCGTTTCATCTAACTGAGCCTCTGTCTCCTCAATTTTTCTCATACTTTTTCCTTTTACATCAGCAGATGCAGAAGTTATTTGCAGTAAAGCAAAAAAGTCATCAGCGTTATCACGATTACATTCTCCGTTTTGCAACCATGTAGACAAAATATTAGTTCCTTCACTTAATGTACTCTCATCAGATAATTTTTGAGATACCAGATTATAATTCTCTCTAGAAAATGGAATAACTGGTCTTTTCGCTTCATGCTCGAGGGCATAATTAACAATCATTTGAGAAGTGTACCGCATTCCGGTTTCAACCACAACCGTAAAACCTGTCATTAAAAGTGAATTGAAAGATGCAGTTTCGTTTTCAAATTTAATCAAACAATTGTTCAAATGATTCTTCCATAAATCGATGATGTTACCACAATGTTCAAATAACTGTCTGATCTTTTCATTTGACACCATAGCAGGTATACCACTTACCATTACAACCTGTGAAGCTGGTCTCTCCGGAATTTGGGGAATCATTAGTTTATTGGCAGGAGGTTCCACAAAAACTCTAGTAGAAGTAGCAGCCTCATTGGGATAAGGTATAGGATTCACTGCAATTTCCATTTCAATATGATATTTCACGACAGCACTAAGCTTACAATTATACGGCAACGAAAGATAAACAATGGCGGTCTTGAACTTAAAGAAGCCAAGTAGGTCATTGGTCATTGTGCAATAGTTTTTACAATTCATGCATAAATATTTTTTGCTTTTAGCTTACTTTTTATTTCTGACTTATTTCTCTTTCAATGGAGGTGTAATGATAACTTTTTCATAGCACCAATCAGGATGGCGTATTCGGGTATTGCTATCGCGAAAATTGAAAATTTGAGTGGAGAATTTTTCAGAGACAGCAAGAACGGTTCTTAAGGCACATTCAGTGATTAAAGAGCTGCAAGCGTTTGCTGAAGAGACTGTCGCACAATCAATCAACAAGTCGGGCTAGGTTATTAATGTTTTGATGAACTAAATTTCATGTCTCTTCAGTTTTCTTTTTTGGAAATTAAATGTTCCTAGTTAGTAATTAAGGCAGCTATTTTATTTTAAAAATATTTGTTTGTTACAGCTACGTTAACAAGTACCAGCTTGCATGAAGCAATATTTTAGCCATAGTTTGAAATGTATTAAAACTAATATCCATTTTCTTAACACTTTTTGCAATGGTTACTTAATACTTTGATAATTTCCGATTATGGGAGGAAGCAGACATTTCTCTTTTATCGAATCCCTCAAATTTTCGAGAATCGACTCCAGTTTTTCAACGGAGTAAGTTTATAATTCTTTCGTAATACCATCTTGAAAGTTAGTTTTAGAATATTCATTTTCTTAGCTTTTTAGTTTTACTGTGCTTTAAAGCACATGCGATTGTTTAATTCCATTCCATGTTATACAGCGTATTTACTAGTTTTATTTTTAACGGATGCAGTGAAATTTACATCATTTTCCAAGTGGTAGTGGAGTGATAACTGAATTACAATTATGAGCAAGAATATTATCTCTGGTCAAAGTTTATGCTCACAGCTATTTTGATTTAGGGAATATTTCCGTATCGTGATCTATCACACCAACCACAATCGCCAAGGGGCCAAACCGATTTTAAACATGCAAATTAAAAAACAAACAAACATGTAAATGTCTGCTCCTTTGGTGGCTATGAGTTATACCTTTCAAGTTGGCCCCTTTCTGTGATTTTTTTNTTTTTTTTTTTTTTTTTTTTTTTTTTTTTTTTTTTTTAGTTTCTCGTGACCGCTCTTCTGCCACAGATTATGTTATGGAAGTCTCTTCTTTATTTGCTGACATTTATGTGAATATGTGTAGTGGTGGATTATGTGTAGTGGTGGTCAAAATATTTTTTTGAAAGGCTTTCATATCTAAGAAGTAGCTAAATTCTACAATGATACAACTTTGGGTGACTGATTGCTGACGGGATACTCTCTGGAATGGAAAAAATCCTTTATCACGGCCTCTCAGGGTAGGCTGAAGAGGCACAATTTGGAGGTTTGAGCTAAAAACAGATTTTCCAGATGGTTTTTCAAGAGAATCGCTACAATACTATTGATGAATTAACATATTTAAATTCTTGATCTTCATGATGTAGTAGCAGCAATGAGGGAGTTAGGAATGTTCGCAATAGTTTCGTCAGGAGAGTTGTATATGGTTTGGTTGCCTTACTAATTTTATTTTCTGCAATTTTCTCTATAGCATGAAAATATTAAAGCAGATTAAATACATTTGAACACAGTTATAAATGTCCTCTAACAAAAAAAATAGTATATCTACTTTTTTTTTCCATCTCATATTGATACAATTTGTTTGACTGTTTTTGGTTAGAATGTTTTTACTTAATGTATCATAGTTTTTCTTTCAGAAATTTTGTTGCTTGAATGCTAAGATGGATACATTACCTGCAAAATTTCGATCCCCTCCCCCTAAGCCTCCTCGTCGTAGACATTCTGATCAGCTCTCAGTTTCATCATCAGGTACTTGAAATAACAAAAATGTTTTTAATTTTTATAAAAATAATATATTTTGCTAAAAAGTTGGGAATTTTTGTCTTGTTTTTTTATGTTTTCATTTCTTTTATGTGGTATTTTTCTTTGTTTTGAAAACCTGAATAGCAACAATATAAGTTAATTTCTTATGAGATTATATAATAGTATCATTTTGCTTCTTTCATTCTCTTGTCACTTATCATAATTTCATTTTACACTTGTATGCAGGGTAAGTATGATTTAAATCATAATTGAAATCTCTATTTAAATCACTTGGACATGGTGATATGTAATTCTTAGGACACTCTATGACATGAGACTTTGTGGAAATTTACTCATCTTCCTGCAGAGCTTTCTGTTGAAGCAGTATTTTCGAGTGAAATGGGACACTACATTTTCTGATCTTTTCTTTCAAGCTAAAGACATTCCTCAGGGCAGTGTTTAAAGTGTCATACTTTTCATAATTCATATTTCGCTCATTTTGAACATACTGCCCCCTTCCGTATTCGGTTCACTTTATGCTGACGATCTGAATGTGTCATGTACAGGATCTGACATACACGTCATTGAGCGTCAACTGCAGATACTCATCGGATTTTATGCTTCATTAAACATATGTTAATCACTATTTACAACAATAAATTTGACATTTTATTTTCTTGAGTACCGAATCACGTCAGTTTATCAGGAAATGAGTTGGCTGACTCTGCAGCTCAATCTGCTACTACTTTCTTCATATTATCTGTACTATTTGCAGACTTTAAACTACATCAGTTAACATCAGACCTGATCTGCGTAATGAAGATGTAAAGCTTAATCGTCTCAGAATTGCCCTTATTTGATTCACCCATTTCCATCTGTTGTTACGAGAACCTCCTTCAAGATAAGACACTTGTAGTGCTTTACTTACATTTCATCACATTTTAACCATTTGTCCATGTTTTTACCAACATCTTATTACCTTTTTTTATAGCCCTATTTTATGTATGATGAATTTATTAGGTGAAATCCATCATCCTACGTTTTCATATTTCTGCAAGCTGTTGGTATTTTATATTGTATATAACTGTTTTATCTGATTTTATTCACTCTTATTTAATACTCATGTCCACCGTTTTATCTATATCGGGTATTTTATGTAATTCCCCTTTTATTGAGTTTTATTAACGTTTAAATATACTTGTATTGCTATTAACCATTTTATTACCTTCAGGTATTTTATAAAAATGAAATTATAGTGTGCATTTTACCTTTTGATCTACATTAACGAATTGTTTGGTGTATCATATCCTCATTTCAATCTTGTGCCATTCTTTCAATATTCCCGAACTCGATATTCAATCAGTAATCAACCTATTCATTTTTGTGTTTTTATACATAAGCCAAAAATTCTGTTTTACAAATATGGCTTGAAATAACAAAATGCTATTTCAGGATATACGTTTTTTATTTCTTCCCAAAATCAGTTTCGCATGTTTTCAAATTTCGTCTTAGCCTGTAATTATCTTTGATTACAAAGAAATGTTTGTACTTGATTTAAAATGAGCTAAATTTAAATTTTTTTTATTCATCCTAATTTGTTTTCCAATTTTTGTAGATCTTCTAATTTGAAATTGAAATGTCTTTGCCCTATATATTTATCTACATTTCTGTGAATATATCCCTCAAAATCATGCGAACCTCAAGATTGGGTCATATTTTACATTTTATTGCTTGAAGTCTATTTTTCTCTTGCATATGTTAAAAGTAGGGTGGGTAAGGGACTTTGGCAAAACACTTTTTCGCTATGAATTGTTATGCATCTGCACCTGTCTTTCCAGATTCTCTTTTTCTAGCCAACATCTGTTTTAATAACTGCCAATATGAGGTTTTGATTGTACTTGTGTGTGCAGAAGGATATGATCTAATGTTTGGGAGAGAGGGAGAAATTATTTTCTTTAGAAGTGGATTTTCACGTTAATTTTGAAACAATGTGCATGCGCAAAATCATTATCTGTGCTTAAGTTTAACTGCTAGATATATTGCAAGTTTGATTGCCAGATATTTAGCTGGTTTTTTAAAGGTTATGTTATATTTATGTTGGATGTTATATTTGTATGTTTCTTTAAGGTGCCCAGATGAAATTAAGAATATTCGAACTATTGGAAATGTTTTGACTAATGTCAGATCTTCCCTGTATTACAATTTTTTCAAACTCACTACTATGTAAAAATTGTTCAAGATTGTCATTCTTTCTGAAAGAGTAGCATACCTCTTTTGTAACTCATAACTGAGATGTTTTGACAAACGTTGCTTGTTTACATTATTGTTTGTCCAAGTTAAGCTTGCTTGTTCATTTCGATCATGATGTAATTTCCTGGGAAATTCTTTTCTACAGCAAGTATTTTTTTTCTTCATGATCAGAATGTAAATAGTCATCTTCGTAATCTCGTTTAAATAAAAGTCATTTTCTTGCTACCAGTTCATCTTGTTGCTTTTTCACAACAAGCAAAATTAATTTTGAAGTGATGTTAAGAATCTGCTTGAAATTATGACCATTGTGTGAATGGCATACATCTGACTGTGGAACTATTTTAATCAGAGGTGACTTGTTTTTTAATAGAACCCAATAAATGGGCATTGTGCTTTAAGAAGTCAATTTGTTCTATGTGAAAACATTTAATTTGACTGTGAAGTCAATTTTTATTGATGTGCATTTACTGAAACGATGGATAAAGATTGGTATCACGGTCCTTAAAAGCCCTTAAAAACTGCTTAATTTTTATTTTGGAAAATAAGGGTCTTTAAAGTACTTAATTTTGGCTCAAGGTTTTTAAAAGTCATTAATTTCAAAAATACTTGTGTATATTTTTATTCCTGCGAATTAAATAAGAATGCATGATTTTCTTCTAACAAGAATGCTAAATATTTGCTAATTATAAAGTTTTAAATTGTTACGCTATTATTTTTATTTCTTAAAGATAGGCATAAAAATTAGCGTAAGATTGCTACATAAAAATTTAAATTTACTCAATTAAAGTATCTCTAACTTTTTGTTATTAATGTCTATTATAATAAAATTCAAACTTAGATCTTACTAATTATTTTATTCACTTATCATTGCAACTTAATATACTGTTTTTTCTTCATTCAACATTTGCTTGCTTTAAAATTAATTCATGTTTTTCGCTACATTATTTAGTAATATTATGCAAAGTTAATTCTTATTAACAGTTTTGGCTGGAAATAACTTTATGTAAAGCTCATCATAAAAGTAAATATAACTATTATATATTGTTTTTTTATTTTTTTTTATTTGATTTGATTTTATTTTTTAAGAAAGGTAAATAATTTGCACTCTCACTGGGGGTATATTCAATGATAAACAATCATATTATTTTTAAGATCCTTAATTTTTTCAAAATAGTGTCTTTAACAGTCCTTAATTTTTGCTTTGTTAAAACAGTGGGAACCCTGTATAATTTCCGGGTACTTTGAAAAGATAGGAATAGGATACACATCGTAAATTCTATTTTCTGGTTCTTTTAGTTTTTCTCTTTTCTAGTACCACATCTCAGTATACTCTAAACTGATATTTTTTTAAGTTTTAGTGCCACTGCCAGGTATAAATTTGCTGGGTATACCCTGTACTGATATTTTTTTAAGTGTTAAAAGATACTGGCTGGAATATATTTGCCCAGTATATCCTACATTGATGCATTTTTAAGGGTTAACAAAATAGTTGCTTGAGGGCTAACACTTGATATATATCTGCATTTATAAAATGATTGTTTTCTGCTAAAAAATGACTTATACAAGTGAACTTCAAATGTAATAACGTTGCAATATTTGATTCAATTTTGGGCATGTGACGAAAGAGGCTGTAATAAAATGCACTAAAAGTGGTTGGCAAGAAAAAAAATCGTGAGATATCGGATGCAGATGCATCACATTTCCACTCCAATTATCTTTGTCATTACTACTTAAGATTATATATAATTAATTTTAATAAATAATTACGTTTGCTTTGGTAATATTGAAGGTCGATATTAAAGCCCGGATAAATAGGTCTATGCCTTGAAACTTAGGATTTTTTGTTCCTGAAGAATATAGATGGCAGCACTTTTTTGGAATTTTTTATCATTGAGTGTTTTTGCACTATTTTTCAAGATTTTCAAAAGGGATCAGCACTTGAAATATTTATAAAAATTTTCTTAAAGATTTGGCAATTTTTATTTATTTTGATTTGGTTATTCTAACTGTAACTTTATCTTTATTTATTTTTCTTATATGAGGGCATTTCATTAATAGTTCTTACTGTGTACTTTTGACTTGTGTTTGTGTATCATTAATTTTTCTTTGCATTTACATTTCAATTTTTGAATTTGTAATTGCTTCTTCTTATATAGTTTATCCATTATGGGACCTTGGGGCACAGTCAATTTTTGGTATTATCACTGACGGCAAGAAGGTTCTTGTGTGTTGGCAGACAATGTGTCCCCTGATGACATGTTTTTTTGCTGACATATATATGTTTAGAAATTCTTCATTTTTTTGCTTGAATTGTGTATCTAACTTTCTAAATTAGGTAATTTAATGTAATATTTTCTAGGAACATTTCCCTCAAGTAGAAGAAAGATAGCTGATGAAAGTCATTGTAACGATAACAAACATTGCACAGAAAATTCAATTTCCTCGTGTGGTTCATTGCCTGCTAGTTGGACTCCAGAATTTTGCCTTGAAAATAAAATAGAAAATTTACCTGTGTTTGCTGAAAAAGAATGTACAAGTGAAAGTACGAATAGTACTTCTTGTGATAAATTTGACTTAAAAGAACTTATTTTAGAGAGAAGTAAAAATAACTTTATGCACAATATTATTCCTCAACTAAAAAGCAATTCCAAGCAATTTGTTATAAAAAAATGTGAAGCTCCTTACTTTTATCTTGTTTCAAAGGAACAATTATCTTTTGATGATTTAAAAAAACATTTTCATAAATTTTTGCATAAGGATAGTCATCGGCGACATAATAGTGACCCTTTGCCTTTAAACTTTGATTATCAAAATTTCCATCCATTTTCTTCAGCAATATTAGATAATAATTACCAATATGATTTGTGTGGAACAAAGGAAAACCAGTGCCTTCTCCAAGAAATCAAGTCACTGAAAGAGATAAATTGTAAGGTTCGTACTTTTTTTATTTCTTTTTTTTAAAGGTATTGGAACATGTTAAAAAAGTTTGATTTATCATTTTATGTTCTACAAAAAAGGAAACTTACTGTCATTAATTTATGAATGATGTCACCTTTATACAAAGATGGTAAAGATTCTATGCAATGAAACTTCAGTAAGTCAAAATTGATGGGAATAATTTATCATGTTAGGGGCCATCCACTTATAATATCACACTTTTTTTTCCCTATATATTTTTGATTCCTGGTCTCCTTTGTCACAAAGTGTATTATTCACCATATTTCCTACCTCCCTTTTCTCATGTCATGCTATATTATATTACCATATATTAACAAAAATCATATTTCATGCTTTATTTTTAAGCTTTAAATATATTTTTAGGACATTTATGTGCATAACAATGTTTAAATGAATACTTATTTTGGCAAAGAAGATCAAAAACTATTTTGGGACAAAATAACATAAAGTTATTTAAAACGCAGATTTAAAGAATTTATTATTTTAATCAAAATTTGGGATGTTACTCTTCTTACCACCACTCCCTTGTCACATTTTGAGGAACCACCTTCCTTTGCCAAGTGTGACATCATTTATGAAATGCCCCTTGCTAGAAGAAAGTCTTATCAAAGTGCTCACAATTCATCTTTGTCCTTCACCTGCTCGAACTCAATGCTCCGTCGTTCCCCATTATTCTTCTCCTCCTTGAAGTCACTGCTACACAGCTTTACGATTGTTCCTGCTGCATACGACTGCATTGCTCAAAATTCAAGGCATTTTTACATATCTTCAACAAATTATAAAAATACCCAATCTTTATTTATATTTCTTAACCTAACTGCAGTAGAAATAATTTTATATGTTTTCTGACAGGAGTTACAATTTCAGGAGTGCCAACTTGTTCCACTTTGTGGTTAATATTTTTCTAGTAGTAGCAAAATTTATAATGTTAATTCTTGGGTTAGTAAATTTGATTTAAAATTATTTTATCTACCACTATATATAAATAATTCAAAATTTCATATAAAGAGTGCCACTTTATTCCAGTTTTATCAGTTGAGCCTTTAAAGCTGTCTGCTGAATTACTTAAAAGTCAGCAACTTTTAATTTTTAAGTCTCTACCACTTTATAAAATCTTTACCATAAAGCTAGCAGTTGGCATCTTTGCAATATTTTAGCCACATTCTGAACCTGACAGTTTTGGGAGTTCTCTTCTTGTGCAGAAATTTATTTACAATTTAGTCAAACATTGTCCATCCTTTGCGCATAGTTCATTTTCATGTATGTATCGTATTATTTTCTTTCTTGTTGCTAATGATATTCTTATAATGTTAATGAAGAAGCTAGTAGATTAACTGTTGTATTGATCAATTTTACCAACATTTTTAATTTCGTTTCGAGAAGAAAAAACATTAACTCTTGATGTGAATGATGAAGAAGAAACTGAGGAATTTTTAAGGTTTGAAAAAAGGTATCAAACATCACGTTTGATGTTAATTATATATTAGTTGATGAAAATGTTAAAATTTGTGTTGTCTGTTCAAGAAATGATCATAGGAAAAGAAGAAGTGCAAAGTAATATAGAAAAAGTTCCATTTTGTAAGGTAGCAAAATGCAACCTCAATTAGTGTTAATATTTTCATAAGGCTTTTAGCCTTTGAAATAGCAAGGAACTTTCTGTATTCACGCGAACTTACAGAAAGTAAATAGCAATCTCATACTTGCCAACTTTTACGGATTATCCGTAAAATGTACGGATTTACGTCTAATTTTACGGGCCTACGGATTAACCTGAAATTTATACGGATCCCCCGTTTTTAACGTTGCACGATTAGCGCATCGGCAAAATTCCGCGCTTATCAGCTGCTACGGAGCTAGAGTAAAACCATTTGGAAGGGGGAGAACAGAAAAAATGACACGAGTTTTCCGATCTATTCCAAAGCAACACGGTAACCACACATCCCTTATAAGTGGCTTATCATCGTAACCATAGTAACGCACATGTAACCCAGTTGATTGGTTATTCTCCATTTGTCCCTCCTAACTGCTTCCAGTCTCCTCTAGTGAATGCGCTGTTCCCGTCATTATTGCCACTCCCCATTTCAACTACGTCACTGAACTAGCCGATCCAAACGTCGTTCTCCCTCCCTCTGTTACAAACGAAAACGGTACTGAATTGTCAACTACTACTTAGCTTGTAATCACGTGGTGTGTGTTAAAAATGAAACCGAAGAAAACTTATTTTCAATCGTATAAGAATTCTTATACTGCAGAGTTTCCATGCATAAAAAAATCAAACAAAGGAGAAAAGTATGCTTATTGTACGATTTGTTTTTCTGACTTTCTAATATCGCACGGAGGTAGAAATGATATACATCGCCATGTGACCGGACCGAATCATGCCAAGAACATCGAAAACGCTGAAAATAACCAAAGACTTAGCAAATTTTTTAAGCCACCTGATAATGTCCAAGATGAAGTAATGCGTGCTGAGTTATTGTTTACCTCTGTTTTAGTTGAGCATAATGTTCCGCTAAATGCCGCCAGCCATGTGGGTCCGCTTTTTCGAAAGATGTTTCCGAAAAGTGAAATTGCGAAACGTTACGGATGTGCTAAAACCAAAACTGCATCCCTTGTCCATGAAATGGCTATGGATCGAACTTCAGAAATCATTAAATATTTGCAAGAACAAGCATTTACTGCAGCATGTGATGGTAGTCACGAAGCTGATTATAAGTTGTACCCAGTTGTGGTGAGTTATTTTAACGTGGATCTTCAACGCATTGAAAGTACTTTATTGGCAATCCCAAATTTGGAAGGAAACTCCACAGGTGAAAATATAAGCTCCCTTCTTTTAAATGTGTTTGCTAAATATGACATTCCTTTTAGAAATTGTATAGCATTCAGTGCAGATAATGCTTCTGTTATGCAGGGAAAGAAAAATGGTGTGATTTCATTTTTAGAAAAAGAAAATGAGCACATAATATCAATTGGATGCTGCTGCCATTTAATACATCTTGCCTCTGAAAAAGCTGCTGCAACTTTTCCCGTTAGGATAGATGAAGTTTTGGTAGATATTTTTTACCACTTAAAAAGGAGCGTTAATCGTAAGGACTCTCTTAAGAAATTTCAGGAAATGTATGGTAAAGAAGCACAAAAAGTGCTTAAGCATGTGTCAACTCGCTGGTTATCGTTAGGGAGAAGTCTTACACGCTTGGTTAATCAGTGGGATCCACTTACAAGTTATTTCAGAGCTGAAGTTTCCACTTCCAGTGTGTCTGTATCATCTACTTTGTCATTTTTCAAAATACCAAAAGTAGTTGATACAGAAAGCAACACAAGAGTAGAAAAATTGAAGGATAAAGTGGAAACTAAGACACATAAGCAGGACCCAACTAATGATAAAAAAAGGAAAAGTTCACAACAAGAAATTGTGAATATTGTTAAAAGACATAAAGCTAAAAAAGATTCTTCAACTTTATCCAAAGAAGAGAAAATTTTTATGTTTTTATCTTCAGATTTAAATAAGTGCTTTAGTTTATTTCTTTTAAATGTTATCCCTACATTTGAAAAGGTAAATGTAATTTTACAGTCATCTTCCCCACAAATTCATCGATTAAGAGCTCTTCTTTTGGATATGTTGAAAGAACTTTTTTCGAAGTTTGTTAAACCTTCTGAGGTTAAAGGAAAAGAGTTAACATGTGTCAATTTTCATTCTTCTTTCAACCATAAAGATCAGCAAGATTTAGTTATAGGCAACGCAGCAATGGACTTAATTTCAAATTCTTCGGAAGAAGAAAAATCATTGTTTTATTCAGCTGTTATCAAATATTTCATAACTGCCTGTGAATATATTATTAAGAAATTCCCTTTAAATGATCAAGTACTCAAACATGCTGAAGTTGCTGACTTAAATAAAATTGAAAACTCCAGTTTTGAAAGCGTGAGATATTTTGTAAATTTGTTTCCCTTCCTTTTAAAAACAAAAAGTAATGAAACCAAGCTTACAGCAATGGATGAACTGCAGAAACAGTTTTGCCAACTTCAGTTGGAAGATTTGAGTGAAATAACTGTTCCAGATAGATCAATTGATGTGCAGTGGTCAATGATAAGTCAAATGAAAGGTGCGGATGGCATGTTTAAGTATGAAAAATTTGGAAACATTGTATTGTCAATTCTTCTCATACCACATTCAAATTCAGAATGTGAGAGAATTTTTAGTTTGGTTAGAAAGAACCGTACTGAATCGCGAACAATTATGTCTAATAAAACTTTAGAAAGCCTGCTTATATTAAAAACCAAATTTTCTAAAATCTGTCACGAACAAGTGTTTGAAAAAGATTTTTTAATTAAAGCAAAGAAGGCTACTTCAGCTTCTTTAAATTCAGCATCCTCTTTTGCTGTTGATTTAGAGGAAAACCCTTAAAGAACTATTTTATTTTGCATATAGCATTTTTTTAAAAAGTAGCATCATTGTAATAGAATTTGAAATAATTGTAATAGAAATTGAGATGATAAATGGTTGGTTGATTAGATATTTCTGTACATTTTCTAACAAGTGCAATTAAAAAATTTAATGAAAATTTGGTTCTCACTTCATCAACATTCAATCATGTGATAGATTCTATAATTAATATATTTATTATTCATTTGTGGTGTATTGTTACTTATTAAATAATTCGAATGGTCTTAAATTTTTCGTAAAAAAAGTTTTACTGATGGCAGTTTTTTTAAGTTGGCAAGTATGCAATCTGTTATAAATGTTAAAAATTTATTGTTTGTGAAGTCTTAGTGTATTCAAATCAAAAGATCTGATAAGTAAATAAATGTTTATTCATCTTTTTTTAAAAAATATATTTGAATTAAATACATAACTTTTGTATACATAATTTTTTGAATAAATTTTTTTTATACTTATTGCAAGTTTATTAGTTTCTAAGTCCATTACTTCTTTATAACTTTGCATACATTTTCAAGTCACTATTTAATATTTTATGTTGACTCACATTTGTCACATCGTTTTCTGGGAAATGTCCTATGAAGTTTGATTATTCTAAATAAAGCTACTTTAATTTGTGTTTATTGCATGTTTATATTTTATCACTGTTTTTATATTTTTGACAGTTATGGGAAAATTTGTGCTGTGTTCAATCCTCAATTGAAAATTTAAAGAATTGTTCACCTGAAAGTTCTAATGTTCTACCTATTTCAGGTAATTTTTGATAGTTTTACATTTAAATCAAATAAAGCAAATAGTTTTAAATATACCGCTTGAAACCATTTAGTGTCTTCAGTTTTTTTTAAAAAAAGTGTGTTACTTTGATAAAATTTAAAATATTTTCTTTGCATTTTAGCTTTTAAGTATTTTTCTTATAGATTGATAGTACTATTTATTAGTGCATAGTTAGCAACTTCTAATTTCTCTAACAACTTCTAGAAACCACATCTTTGAAATTATTTGTGTAATTTCTATAAAAGTTGAAAACAATAATCTCTATCCTTTTTTTTTTTTAATCGATCACACTTTATTTTAAATAAAGTTTTCATCCACAATTTCTTTTATGCAGATTTGCTGATGAGTATATATGATTCCCTTAAAAATAAAGATTCTGCTATGGAAGACAGAATGAGGATTATTTTACAGGAGAGAGACAAGGCTATTAATGATTTAGATAGAATGGTTCATGCTGTTGCTAAGTTGGTTGCTTTTCTCATTATTAATTTTAGTTTCATTAACATTTAATCCTTTTTTAAAATTTAGCATGTCCTTTACTTCAAGTAGCTAAAGGAAAATAGATGATGTATAAAGTAATTTTTTAAAAATTGGCATAATTATTGAGGGAATTGTCTTGAATTTCCAGCTTTTTAAGTCTTTCCTGATAGGCAGTAAAAATCGGGTGAGTGCTATATTTCACATTCCTGTTTCAGTTTTTTACTGTAAGATAATTTTTTTAAAACTTACATTTCTAAAATAAGTATAGAATGGTCAGCATAAAATGTGCTATAAAATTTTTTAATATTTTTCTGTTAAACTGCAAAGGAAGAAGATAATGAGGATGAGTTAATTTCATATATCAAACACACTCTTTACTCGGCACTATAGGTTATGTCTATCAAAAACTGAGATATTTAAATCTGCAGTCTACAAAAGAGTCATTCCTTATCTGTGTCCTTATACAGTATGTACTTAATTTCAAATACATAATGCTTATTTTGTAATACTAATAAGTTCATTAAATATTATTTGACTTTAGTCTGATTCATTGTATACTTTTTTAATTGATGAAATATTACTTTTTTATTTAATAAAATTTAATTCTCAATAACATCAGGAATGTTTGTGTGATAAACGAAAGTTTTAAAGTTATAGGGGAAAAGTCGGGAATATGAAACAGGATTCATTTCACTGGGAATCCTGTTTATAAATATTCATTTTCAAGATTATTGAAACTAGTCTAATTTAGAATTATTGTTTTTTTTTTCAGTAGTTTTGATGATAAGTATTCATGTTCAGAAGATAAACCATCTGATGAGGTGAGTTTAAAATTTTGGATTTATTAAAAATATATTTTGTATGAGTTTTTCAAGATTTTAATTTTAAGAAATTAAGCTAATTTTTCTTTGTTTTTTGTAATTTCAAGTGATTATCTTTGTCATCCTGTGAAATATTTTATTTTTTTAATGAACTGAAGTTTTTTGTTGTCTAATTGGATTATTAAAAAAGAATTTTTTTTTTGTATGAGACTTACTTGTCATAAACATAGTTTTTGTATATAAAACTTCCTTACCTGTCTTATGTCTTTTATTATTTGATAACTTTTTTTTGTGTGTGAATTCAAAGTAATTCCATATTAATTTTACCTTTTTATTTCGTTAATTTTTTTACTTTTTTTGATTCTCTGTACTTCTTTTTGAGCTGATTTCTGAAGTGAATAAAATTCTTTAATGAATTAGAAAGGGGGTGATGCTCTTGTCTTCTTAAATCACAATCTCCCAAAAAGATATTTATTGTATTTACAGCCAGGCCCGGGCTGGGATCGAAAATTGGCCCGGGCATTTTAGAGATATCGGCCCACTACTTCACATAAACACCGCGTGAGCGAAGAGTACGCGGCTCCTAATGTATCATTTTTAGACATTTTTTACTTATAAATTCTCATGAACGTAAGTTAATTAATCGAAGTAAGAAAGTAGATAAAAATTGCTTAATAATCCTTTATAGAATATATTTCAAATTAAAATACATGGTTCTTATGAGGAAACATTGGTTGATAAAATCAAAAGTAATGTGAAAGATGAAGAGTAAATAAAAATATTTATTATACTACACATACATGAATGATTTATATAAAAAAATTTTGAAAATAGATTTAATGCTTCTTCAAAAGTCCTGAAATTAAAATTTAATTTAACTTTTAAAGAGGATGACTATTTCCTGCCACTTGATTGATTATGTCGTCGCTATCTAATTTCATTAATATATCTTTTTCTATTGCCATTACCATGAAGGCATTCAAATTATACGAAGATAAAGTACTCCTCATTCGATTTTCAATTACTTTTAATGTGGAGAATGATCTTTCACAAGCAACCTGACTTTTTGACAATGTTAGTAAAAATTTTAATGCTAGACTAATTAAATTGTAAGAATTGGTCAATAAATTTAATCTCTGTAGCATCTTGTAGCAACAAATAACACAAATTTTGAGCGCACTGCGTGTCTCAAATTTTAGACTTACTTCTTCTGTTTCCAAAGTAAAGTCGTTATTATCTTCATTTGAATGATCTTCTGTGATTATTTTATAATCTTCCAAGTCTGAATTTTTCAGTTTTTCCCAATGTAAAGATAAATTTCTTAGTTCAATCCGCAAATTTGAAATAAAAATAGCTGTTTCGTCAAATTTTAGCAAGAGTTTTCTTAACTCATTTAGTTCGCCAGATTGAAGCTTGTTAAGACGTTTTTCAGGGAAACGTTTCGGATCTAGATAGGAAAAATCGGCGTACAATTTTCCATTTGCAGGAAATCGGCGTTCCATTGACGCTACAACCGTGCGAAAATAATTTTATGGGAGTTTATCTTAAATGCAGTGGTTTCATCATCAAAAACTGTTTCATTTGACGCTGTCTCACCCAGCATCAATTTTTTTTTTCTTCAATCCTTTTTATGGAAACTTTGTTTAAATTTCAGTTCAGTTTCTTCAAGTTCCTTATTTGCGCGAATAATGAAATCTGTAACTTTTTTTTAGTTCTCAACACGTTTGTAATACCATTCCAAAAGCTTTTAGGATGCATAAACCAGAGGTTTGCAAATATTGGGAGAGCGGTGTAGTTAATTCAAATATTCTTGAGAATATTTTGACGGTGATTACTGTTTCATATTTGCAAAATGATTCTAAAAATATTTTTGCCTTTGCACGGATATCTGGCTTGAAATTTGAATTTTGTTGTATAGTTTCTAAACTTGTAATCAATGTGACATGTAACGGCTTAATAGTTGAATCTGAGTTTGAAAATTAACCAAAAATTTTCTTTAATGCAGAATCTTTGAACCACCAACGTGTTTCTCCAATAGTTGCGAGCCTTTTTTTTTATTTCCGTGTTCGTTACTTTGTTCCCAGATGTTCATGCGTTGGTATGATTCACGTAAAAATACTGCGAAGCTATTTAGTAGGCTGAAAAATAATGCACTTAGTGCCTTCGTGTTATCTCCTAAAACTAAATGTAAGACATGTGCATAACACCAAACATGAATTTGACCAGGGGACTCTTTGGAAAGCCATGAAGAAAATCCTTTATATTCACATTGCATATTTGCCGTCAGTTGAATTACCGATGCACTTTGTTATATCTATATTACAAGACTTTAAAACTGAATCCACTAAAGAAGACACCTTCTGTCCAGTTGAAGATTTACATTCACTCTACAACAGCAAGAAGTCTTTCATATACACGATATTTCATATATTTTTTAAATGAAAACCTATATCTTATTTGGCATCATTGGAGAGAATTTTTGAAAAGAAATAACTTTTACTTAAAATATTTTTTAATATCTCCTACTATTTTCAAGATAATAGATAAGATATTGAATGCCTTGGGGTCGATTTAGTCATTAGATTTTTTATTTCAAATTGATTATTTTCATTCTCGAAAAAAATGGGTGGCACGCATGATCTGAATCACTCTGTATATTAAAACAATATTATTACTACATATATCATATATATGTTATTAAATATTATTATTATTTGCGCAATATTATTTGAAATTCATGCAATGTATAAAAAGAAATTTTGCGCTTCTGGCTCGGTCCAACCGGCCCTGAGGCCAGACCGGCCCACCGGGCATTTGCCTGGTCTGCCTACTGGCCAGTCCGGGCCTGTTTACAGCACATATTTTAAATAATTTTTCTTCTTAAATGACTTTTTATAAATATCTGTTTAAACACCTGAAAAGTTATTTTGTTACAATAATTTTGTCAAAGCAACGATTTTTATTTTTAAAAAAAAATCTAATAGTAAATTAAATAGATGAAATGTAAAAAAATAAAAATAAATAATCACTTATTTTAAATGATTGTAGAAAATTATAATTCTTAATATTGAAAACTATAAGATTATTTTGATTTGAAAAGCAAAACTTTCTATTAATTTGTGGTTTTTATTAAAATTGTCTGACATAGTTATTAGTATTATCAAAATTAAGAACATTGCATATTTGTTGTAGCCACGATAAATTTTTACAGCATAAATTAATAATTATAAAGTGAAAAAGAAAATGTAATTGAATTTATTTTAATAATTTTTTTTTTGCATTGGAGCTTAGTTCTTGGTTTCATTACTTGATTTAGGTAGCAGGATTTATTAAATGTATCCTTTTCAATATAAAATACTTATGTTATAATAATTTTTTTTTTATTTAGGAAATAAAAGAATTACTAAAAGAAGTTGAAGTTACTTGTAATCCCGGTAAACTGCTTCAACAACAAAGGCTGTTATTATCCTACTTGTATAGGTCAAAAGAACTAAAGCTTGATCGTATGTTACATGAAATGAAACTCATTGCTGCTGAAAGAGACAGCTTGAAACTTAAGGTACTTTTATTTCCCCAGTTAATTTAGTTTATTGTATAAAATCTTACTATTGTATTACTCTATTTTTGATTTAAAAAAAATTTAATTAATATGGTTATATAAATATTGTATTATGATGGTATGAATATTTTTCTTCGCTTTCAATGAATCATATTGATTGGAAAAATTTGTCCTTTGTTGCTTCATTTTTTGAAATATAATTTGATATTGATCTGGAATAGCTTAAATTAGTGGTTCTGAAACTAACTCAACATTTTATAAGAATTTTGTAAAGTAGATTTCCAACACAAAGCAGTTAAATATAATAATTAAATGTTAAAAAATACAGTTATACATAAAAAATTGAGAACAGTACATTCTTATTTGAATCGGCTGTTTAACACCAATAAAAAATTTACATACCATTTTATTTCAAATGAAAAAAAAAGAACTGAATACAGAGTTTTTCTGAGATGGGAAACAGCTCTTTTGTTGTTATCATAAATTAGATGTCTTTGTTAAAAATAAATTATTATAAATGCAAAAAGTTAATTTGAAATATTGAACATTTATAAGTAACTATCACGTTCAACCCTAAAGACTAATAATGCTAAATGCTAGCAGGATTTAAAATTGTTCAAATGACTATGAACAGTAGTTTTAATTTACATCCCTAATTTTTTGTTAATTTTAAATACTTCAATACTTTTAATTTATTTTCAGGTTCAGCTTTTAGAAACTGAACTCAAACATCTAAAATTATCTAACGAAATATGGGATACTGACAACAAGCTATGGGAAAGCAGTTTACTTGTAAGTTTCTACTCACATAATATACTTATTTTTTGATGTGTCCAATATTTGTCACCATTTCTAAAATTATTGAAAATTTCCAGAGTTTTAATTTTTTATTGATACCTTAAAAATTAATTAACTCAATATGGAAATAATTATTAAAAATGTTACGGTATTCCTGATTGATTGAATTCTGCAGATATTTCTTTTACTGCTAACAAGAGTTTATACCTGAATATTTCTACAAAAGTCTATATCTTGCATTTTCTTTCATATTTCAAATAATTTTATTGTATTTATATACCGTATTTTTCAGCGGAAGTGCCGCGGGGCTATCGAAAAAAAAGTTATTTTTTTCCTACATGCGGCGCTTCCGATGCAGCGGCGCTTCCGTCGAAATATTTTTTAGTAGCTAAAAAAAGTTATCAAGGAAAGTTATTTAAGATGAAATAATTTTCTAAGAGAAAGACTATTAAAAAAAAAATTAATAACGAAGTCGACGAAATATTCGTCCGTATCGCGATCTGCATCGCCAATTCTTAGCAAACTTTCGGCAGCAACCTGCAAGATAATAAATAAACGAAATAATAATTTTACAAAAACATCACATTAGGAGAAAATTTAAAAGTTTTTCGTCTTGTATCCACCCCCAGCTTAATAAAAAATCGCAAGCTAGAGATCTGCTTAGCGCCTTGGCAATTGCAATTGGAACGAGCAGAAAAGGACCCCTAATCCGACACACACGGGACCGACGAAATGCTGAACTTCGAATCTCTTTCGAAAATTCCAATATGGCGCTCAAATATTACTATAATTCAATTACACTGTTAATTTCAGAAAACCAATAAATTTAGTGAAGTATCGATCGTAGATTATGGTGGGGTGAATTCAAAACTGGCCCATCTTAAGAAATTTTTTAATTAAAATAATAATCTATGTAATATAATCAAGAAAAAATAATCCGAATACTCTAAAAAAGAAATAATCGTTTCTTCTTCGGAGCGAGATTATAGTCGTCGTTTTTTTTCTTTTAGATAACATTTTGTTTTAACAAATGACGCTTAACTCGAAAAAAAAAATATATAGCTAACAAGGAACTACAAAATAAAAGTAACAATTAATGCTAAGAAACTTACAATGAATAACAACAAAAAAACAAGCTAAAAACTAATAACGATAAAAAAAAACTAGCAATCAACTAATAACAAAAAAACAAGCTAACTACTAACAAAAAAAAACAGCAAATTAACAGTTAATAACTAATAAAAAAGCAGCAAAATAAAAAAATTTATGAATCGAATAAAAAACCGCAAAAGGGATAGAATTCATTTTGTAATCCGTGTGGTAGTTTCAATGTCAACTGGGTGTGGCTAATTTATGGTGGAACAGAGGAGGGAACAAACCAGTAAAGTACAAGCACAACTGTCAAGATTAATTGATCAGTTTTTTCCAACTTGCATTTCTTTATTTTGTTCATTGGAGATGCAGGTGTTTTTACTTCTCACTTTATTTTAAACTGTTTTAGAAACAGATGTTTCCTTTGACACAGATTTTTTTTTTCAAGCTTTTTATTTTCATTTTAAAAAGATTAAATAAAGTTACTTACTTCTTCAGAATAAAATTCCAAATAAAAAGAATATAACTGATTTTTTTTTTTGTCTTATCAATATAAATTTCTGAAAAAAAAAATTAGATCAGATTTAGTGAGGAATTTTGGGATGCTGGATTAGGGGTCCCATACCCTCTTTTCTTTTCCCCAACCCCTTTAAAAATTATTGATTCCTCCTAAACAGCTCCAGTAGAAATGACATGTGGAGGAGGTGGGATGGGGCGTGCTTAGTTATTTCTTATTCTTGTTATTATTAGTTGTTTCGTTATTATTAGTCTTTCCTCAAATTGTTAACTGAAATAAATTTTTAAATCTTTTTATTTTAATAGATTTTTCTTTTCTTATAACATTGTTTTACGGATTTCTGTAATCAGCCCAGCTTAATTCATCTGCTGAGCATGTAAATATTTTTTTTGTTGCTGTTCTTCTGTTTTTTGGCTCGGTGCCAACTGGTAAGAACAACTTTATTTTATATTGTTTTATTTATTTATTTATTTTTTTTGCTGAGAGAGAAATTTTTTTTCACGTGAACTCTTTGTTAACGCATTTTAGGCTTCCTCCCCCCTCAAATAATTTTAAAAATTATGTTATTTGATGTATTTAAAAAAAATTTGTTGTACTTAACATTATTTTCAGAATTATTTGTTGTACTTAGCTTTATTTTTTGGCGCGGTGCCACAGATAAGAACAACTTTATTTTAGATCATTTTGTTGCTTTTTTTTCTTTTTGCTGAAAAAGAAATTTTTTATTATAATTTAGAAATTAAAACTTTACTTTATGAAATGTATAAAAAAAATGTAATTTTTTATTATACAGATATTCTACATGGTAATTTAAAGGTCACTTCTATAAGGATGCTGATCTGCGCGGTTTAGCGCCAATGCGGCGCTTGTGCCAGAGCGGCCCTTACTATAACTTTTTTTAAAAAATTTTTCATTTTTATCGATGTGCGCCACTTTCGCCGAAAAATACGGTAGTCCTTTTCTTAATTTGATGTTTTAAGAGGATTCAATTACATGTAAGTAAGCAAAGCTTTGGGAAGGTTTTATGTTTCAGGTTAAAACCCACTTTTTTTGGTTATTCTAGTTATTTTGTCTAATATGTCAAAGTTCTGTGTCTTTCTGATGTTTTAATTTTAGTTTCATTATAAATTTTTGAAATTATCTACCTGAATCTTGCGGCATTAAAACCATATTCAGTTCAATTTACTCATTTTTTTTCAAATTACATTAACAGTATTCATTTTACAGGGCTGAAAGACTACTGCAAAAATGCAGAAAAGTTTTTTTTTTACTCCCAATTTTTAAAATTTTTGACAAAAACATAATTTTTGGGGGGCCCAATTATTACAGAACACATTATAGTATCCTTATTTTTGTCCGTTTCTGTGTTGGTCCGTGCTCAGACTTGTTTCTTGTTTTCTTGTGTCCTCTTGATGTGGTGCATCGTAAGATGAACGCATTTTAACGATGGAAGTAATTTGATAGACGAATATAAAGTGCATATGATTGATGCCGCTGAAGAAAATAAATTCAATTTTGATCGGTTAAATATAACAGTCAAATTGACTAAAACTGCTTGTAACAATCTATCAGATGATATTAGGGTGAAAGTTAGCGACTGTTTTAATTAAAATGCAGGGTGCTAAGAACCTCAAATTACTAGCCAGTAAATTAGCCAAATATCAAAAGTGTTAGCCAAATTCTAAAAGCCTTAGTATACGGTAAGAGTTTTGTCACACCATATCTCATGATCTGGCAACGTACGCGTTTATCTGTGTTTTAACTTTTTTTTATTGCTTACATTATTTGGATTTCATATAATTCTTACTAGTTATGTGACATATCAGAGGGAATTTACAGTAATCAAATAAAATAAACAAGATTTTATTCAGAAAAGTTCATATTGATGTAATTTTCAAGTTCAAGGGGAATATGTATTTTTCTTTTTTATAGAAAAAATCATTTGCCATTACTTTTGCCAAAACGTGATTTCTTTTGCAAGTTCACAATTTTATCGCATTTGGCAAATGCGTAGCGCAGGCCCTCAAATGATTGACTGGCAATTAATTTAAAATTATAATTATTAAGCCTTATATATTGTGTAATTTTTTTTAAATGTAGTGGTGGTCAAAGGTGTTTAAAATTATGTTTAAGAAAAATCTAAATTTCACAGTCTAAATGCTTCTGCCACTTTTAATTAGAAATAAAAGTTCTCACTGCGGAGTAAGAAGTTATGTTTTTATACATCTTATTCCACAGTATTACATAGAACACTCCCTTTCAGTGTCTGCATTGTAAAAGTTCAGCTTTTTATTTTTTTATTTTTGTACACTTTCATGCCTGAGTTTAGATAATGATGAGAAATGTTTGCTTTCATAGTTATTCAGTACAATATAAGTAAGTGTTATGTTTATGGTTAAGAGAGGTGAAGAGATGCAAATCTAATTTTAAATTTAATAATTTTTTAAATATTTGTAAAATTTTTGTGCATGACTTTAATTCTACTTTGCACATGTTTTACATCTCATGATCTACAAATTAGTTCTTAGTTTGGATTTATTTGTAAAATTTTTTTTTGTAAACAGTTGCCTAAAATCTTGCTGTTTTGAGTCTAAGCTTACTTGAGTTAATTAATAAATATTTCGATTTTGGGTGTTGCATGAAATAAATTCTAGTACAAATTATTATTATGATTTTGGACTATTCCTAGGAGTAAAGCTTTAAAAGAAAATGTATGCATGTTATAGTGTGGCCCTCTGAAATAAAGCCTCCTTGAATACAAGGAAGCAACATAAATATGATCGACAACATAAATACACCACAAACATGAATTCAAGTAAAACCTATTTAGAAATGCATATTAACCAAGAGTAATTTTTTCCTTCACCTGGGCAGGGGAAAAAATTAAACAAGTACAACAAAGGGAGAAATAAGTTCGAGCACCATTATTATGTCAGGGTTTAATGATGGCAGCCTTCATTTCTGCCACAAAATAAAACTGTTTCTTTTTTGTACATGCAGCCATTCTGAGGCCATACAAAACGTTTTTTCTCAGAAAATGAAAAAATAAATTCTATTTTCTATTTTCAAGCATTATTATTTGCAATAAAAATATTTTTAATGGATATAACAAGTTTCAAAGGGAAAAAAAGATTCATTCTAGAAATTATTTCCTCTTTACTGGTTCCATATGTGCTGTTTTTAAGCAAGAGAAAATTTAAGTTTTGATTTAAAAAATCATGATTTAGAATAACTGCACCAAATTTTAATACTATTTAAGAAACCCTACATTCAGTAGATTGCATGAAAAGAAAATATCTATTAATTATATAGTCGCCTATGAAAATAAATTTTAATTATCACTTTAGAATAGCATTGTTTCTAACATAAACAGATGGTGTTGGATTGTTTTTTGAAATCATTAATTTATATCTGCAATATATTTGTAAGAGAAAAATGTTATTGTTATGACTTCTCATTATAAATGAGCCTTTTGTTTATTTATAGATATATGATTGAGAAAAGTGGTAAAATGGGGTTCTTAAATCTTCACAGCCCCTTTTTACATAATTTTTTTTCTGTTGCTACCAGAAGACATTATAGACAGACATTATAAGAAAAAAAAAGGCTATGAAAGTTTTTTTTGTGTGCCTCCATCTAGTATGACCTTGAGTTTACAAAGTCCAATTCTTGTTAAGACTACAGGGGGTGGACAAAAATGTGGAAACACTTTTGATTCCAACTTTATGTAAACAATATTTCTTTTAGCAGCAAAAATAGTCTTATATAAGTATCTCAATCTTAAAGACTGATTTCAAAATTGCTGACATCAAAACTAGAAAGAAGGTATTTATTTCCTCTCCTCATTTTGGTTGATCCAAATTTTGCATGTTAAAAAATAACATTTCTAAAAGCTTCCAAATATGATCTTTCAAATTGTGACAACAGTTTTGCCTTAAAAAATTTAAATTTTTTTTTTTTTTTTTGCATTGAGTTAGTAAAGAAATGTTTCCATATTTAATTCTATAATTAAAAATAATTTTTCTCTCACTTATTTGTCTTATATTTATCAGAAAACATTGTCTACAAAGCTAACAAATTTCTTTTATGTCATTAGAATACATTGTGCCAAGTCATACAACAGAGAGATGTAGTTTCTAAAAGTTATGCTCACAGCTTGGACTATATCAATAGCAAGTAAATATCCTTCTGTATTATTAATGTATTGTCTTGCAATAATGATATCTTTTTATGAAATAGTACCGTTTCCAGTTATTTATAAAGCTGTAAGTGTGTGAGTGTAATAGTAAATCACATAAGCATTGTTATTAACAATGAATTCTATATAATAACCAACTTTATTAAATACTTCAAAATTACAACTTTACTTCAAAATTACAACTCAATTACTTTATCAAATTTGAGTTAATATTATATTATCTATAACATAGCTGAGCAACAAGTATTACTAATTTGGATTAAATAAAGTTTTTGAATGTAATATTTTTGTATATTATCTATTTTAAATAATATAGATGTATCTTAATTTTTCACCCTTAGAAATTAAAAACATCAAATTAATGAAATGAGTGAGGATAGAAGTAAGTGTGCTGAATGTCTGAAGAGCTATGTTTGAGTGAAGTTAGAATTAAGTATGCTTAATGTCAGCATTGTTGGAAAGTGTGAATAATTTTTGACTCACCTTCATTATTTCTTCAAATCCCCTATACCTTAACCAGGGTTTAAATAAAAACTTTTTTTTTGTTTAAACCAGACTTTTATGGTTTATTTAAAACAAAAAGTTAATTACTAGTTTGAGCTCCAACTTAAAAGTAACTAACCCATTAAAATGTATTATTTGTTGTATAGTGGGCCAAAAAAAACAAACAAAAAACTGATCACTCTGAATGACTTTTGACCTAATTATCAGATCTTCACATTCTAGAACTCATTCATTATGGTTTGAGAGGATGAACTCAAATATGCTAATTAATTGGTGCAGACAATATTTTAAGTTACAAAATCAGACACAATTGTGTATTTCGCAATATCTTGAGATCTTCATAAACGAATTTTAAAAAAAATTTGCACACTATTATAAAATTCCTCTATCCAAAGATAATTCCATGCAAAAATTTTTTAGTTAATATGTATTGTTTTTTATTATTTTATTTGATGATAATCAAAAAATTTTTAATTAAAGAATGTAATTTTACATGGCAAAATACAAAATTTGAATGAAATCGCTCCAATAGTTTCTGAGAAATTGAATTTTGAAAAACTCATATATATAATTATTAACTTTTTTTCATCCTTTTAGTGGCTTGATTAAATGAGTAGCAAACATGCTTAGTGATATACGGGGGATTTTGTGCTTGGCTAAGCACCGAACCGGAACATTTGCTTTTGCACTCCAGAGCTACAGGTCAAGAAATATGGGATTGGCACTGTAGGCCTTTGCCTTTCATGGGTTATCCTACCACTGTGTTTAGTTTTTACTTTTTACAGGACTCCTTGGCGTGATAAATTTTTTAATGTTTATCTTATAAATTATAAGCTTACTGATAATTTGCAAGGCCTACAGTGCCAATCTAGTTGTCATTAGATTTTTTATATCTCTTGTCCCAGCTTTGAAAACTGAAATTATAATATAGTAAATATTAATTTTTATTAAACTCAATAATATTTAACTGAAATGAATATTTAAATCTTTTGGCTATTATTTGTAGCTATCAATCGATTTACATTGTCCTCAGATAATTATGAAGGAAATAAGTATATATTAGTAATTGTATACATAATTTAAGATGAACAATGTTAAATCCCTTGGCATATTTTAAGCATGTATGGAAGCAAGTTTTCTTTTAAAATAGTGAAAAAACAATTAGTAATTTTATAATTTTAACTATATCTCTTCATCATCATTAAGAAGGCTATTGGTTATAAATAAGGCAAATAAAAGGCAATTTTTCCTAACTTATTGAGAAATCTTTAATGTTAACTCCTAAGTATTGGACATTAACTAAAATAAATATTCAATGACTGTTATGCCTTACTGATTTATATTCATTACTGATTTAATGTTACTTTCTTCATCTGTTTCTTTTATTAATTTGTAAGGGAGTCTGGTTTAAAGAAAAATCAAATGAGATAGATATTTTTTAGACAGTTCCTTTTCAAAAATTCTTTATGAAACTACTAATTTCTTTGTTTTAGTCTAAATATTTAGGAACATCCACCTAAAAAAATTAGTGCAAAGCAAAGCTCAGCATAGCAGTAGCTAATATCCTTGAACTGGAAAACAGTGTGTGAATTAAAAGGTTTTCTTTTCTTGGTAAAAGTGGGTTTTTCTCATTGAATCATGATATAGTTGGTATTTATCAAATATCAGTAATTTTTGTGTTTATAGAGTGTTAATCATTTGATGACATTTCATCCTGCTCTATTCATTCTGTATCAGGTTCATCATAGTAAGTTGAACCCTACTAGAAAGTTTCATTATTTTAATAATGAAAAAAGAGTAAAAAATAAAAATTTAAATTAACCTGGTCACCCTTGATATTGACTGTGTTTAAAATATAATAATAAAATCGTAGCTTTGCAATTATCTTGCGTGTCATTAGTTGGTGTATAAAATATTTTAGTTATTAGTCAAATATGCTGCTATGTTTTCAAGGATTAAATTTATTTAATTGATGATTTTTTAATATTAGGTCTTCTGTTCATGAAAAATCATTAGATTCTGAAGAAATCAATGACTGTTTACAAAGGCTTGAAGGATCATGTGTTAAAAAAAAGATATTTTCATTTTCCCCAAATGAAATGAAAAAATACTCACCCCTTTCTGCAAAATCTAGATCAGATGAAGTAAGATATTTAAAAGAAGAAGTCTTGATCCTTAATTCTTCACTAGAAGCAGAAATAGATAAAAGAAAATGCACAGAAGAAAAATGTGTGAGGTAATGATTCTAAATATTGAGTACTATTTCAGTTTAAATGCTGTTTTATTTTTATGTATAGTTGGTTAATTTTTGTTTTATTTAGTAAGAATCATTTACATAAAATTTTAAAAAACGAATTTTTCCTTTTCGTAATTTAACGTTTCAAACAACAAAATTTTTTTATAATTTAAATGATTCATAATTTTTGTCAAAATTTTGGAAAAATGTTCATGTGAAAATGATTGTAAAGGAAAATGTTTCTTAAAAGAGATGTGCGTGTGTGTGTGGTAGTGTGAATATATATATATACAGTGGTGGCCAATAGTGTGGACACTTTTTGAAAGTTTCATGTTTTTCAATTTTGTGTGCTTGTAGAATATATTAATTTTCACTTAAATACAAACGTTTATATATCAAATTGAAGGTAATTAAATGTAGAATTTAATAATAAATACAGTATTACAATATCTGTATTACAAAAAAGGTTATGCAACAAATAATCAGATCTATCTTAGATTTGCATTTTTTTAAAGTGATACTTACACAATCAATACTTTGTAGGATAACCCTTAATTTTTAAGACAGCTTCACAGCATCTTTTCATCAAATGAACGAGTGTTTGGAGTTCATCTTTCGTAATCACATGGTGCCAAGAATCAATTATAGCTTCACTTAGTTGTCTTTTATTGGATGGACGTTTTTTTTCGTACAAGAATTTTCAAACGTCGCCAAAAATTTTCTATTGGATTGAGATCAGGGCTGTTTCCTGGCCATAGTAATATATCTATGCCTTTATTTTGAAACCATGCTTTGCATACTTTTGCTGTGTGGCATGGAGCTGGATCCTGCTGAAAAATAAATGGTGCGTTGTTGGAGAAGAGATCCCTGATTGAAGGTATCAATTTTGGTTTCAGGGCAGTTTCGATGTATTTTTTGGCGTTCAGGATGCCATTAATCACTTGAATTCGGCCCACACTATCTGCAGATATGCATGCCCAAATCATGACATTTGTTGGATTTTTTGTAGTTGCTTCAACGCAATCAGGATGAAGCGCCTCACCTACTCTACGTCTCACATATTTTCTACCATCACTTCCAAAGAACGATATTTTACTCTCATCACTCCAGATTACTTGCTTCCATTGATTTTCTGACCATTTAATGTGTTCTTTTGCCGACTTAACTCGTTTTTCGCGTTGCTTTTGATTCAAATATGGTTTTTTCCTTGGAATTCTAGCTTGTAGTCCAAATCCTGATAACCTTCTTCTTATTGTTCTTGAACTTACTGCAATACCAGCTGCATTCATTTAACATCTAATGGCATCTGATGACATTTTTCTATCTTGAAGGCATAGCCACTTAATTTTTCTATCGGTAGTAGCACTTGTGCATTTTTTTCGGCCTGATTTGGCATCCTGATTGCCGAAAAATACATCGAAACTGTCCTGAAACCAAAATTGATACCTTCCATCAGGGATCTCTTCCCCAACAACGAACCATTTATTTTTCAGCAGGATTCAGCTCCATGCCACACAGCAAAAGTATGCAAAGCATGGTTTCAAAATAAAGGCATAGATATATTACCATGGCCAGGAAAACAGCCCTGATCTCAATCCAATTGAAAATTTGTGGCGACGTTTGAAAATTCTTGTACGAAAAAAACGTCCATCCAATAAAAGACAACTAAGTGAAGCTATAATTGATTCTTGGCACCATGTGATTACGAAAGATGAACTCCAAACACTCGTTCATTCGATGAAAAGACGCTGTGAAGCTGTCTTAAAAATTAAGGGTTATCCTACTAAGTATTGATTGTGTAAGTATCACTTTAAAAAAATGCAAATATAAGATAGATCTTACTATTAATTGCATAAATTTTTTTGTAATTCATATATTTTAATACTGTACTTATTATTAAATTCTACATTAAATTACCTTCAATTTGATATATAAACGTTTGTATTTAAGGGAAAATTAATATATTCTACAAGCACACAAAGTTGAAAAACATGAAACTTTCAAAAAGTGTCCACACTTTTGGCCACCGCTGTATATATATATATATACACACAGTCGAATCCAGGTTTAATGAACCCCAATTTGTCAAATTTCACGATTTAACAAATTTTCCTTTTCCCCTGATTAAAGTGAAGGCAAAAACTGCTATTTAGCAAATGGAAAACCCAAAACTAATGAATAATTTCGGTGATCGAAATTTTTTTTCTTATAATAATTTGGGTTAGAAAGATTATCTATTGCTTTTCAAATGATTGCAGTATTTATCCTGTCAGGAACATAAACCCCTTTTTTCCTTTTCATCAATTTTAGACACGGCTGGTCTCAGTTCAGACCTCACAGGTGCTTTTGACTAATGATTGAATGTAACCTGTAAGAACAAGAAATTCATTTCTTATCTCTCCCATTCTACAATAACAAAGAAGTGAGGTGTACTGGATGCCTGTAAAGACAAGAAGTTTCTTTCTTTCTTATCTATCCCTTTCTATATTCCATAGAAGTAAGACATGTTGAACGCTTACTTTTGTAGAACATTTGATTTTTTAGAGTTTGTGAAACATGGCAGGTTGTCGGAAATCAAAAATTTTTGTTAAGGGAAAACCTCAACATTTTATGCAAGTTTGGCAAAAACGTGAGACCCCAAAACACTTTAGCAGAAGGTTTCAAAATCTCCGCATCAACTTTAGTTACGATTGTTAAACAACAAGCAGAGATTAAAAATGCCTCTGCAGAGTGTGGTGAAAAATCATCGAAAGTAAAAAGTCATTGAAAGCCACGCCTTTCCGTTCTTGAGTCTGATCTAGTGGAATCGTTCACGTCTGAAATATAGCCTTTAATGGGCCTTTGATCAAAGAAAAAGCTCTTCAACTAGCTGAAAAGCATAATGTGAAAGGCTTTTCTGCATCCAATGGTTGGATCAACTGTTTTAATAAAAGATATGACATACTCCAAAAGAAAGCTGCGGAGAAAAGAAACATATAAATGAAAATGTAGTAAAAGATTGTGAAGAAAAGTTGCTTGACCTGATTGAGGATATTCACCATCCAACATTTACAACTCAGATGAAACGGTTGTTTAATGACTTACTGCCGACTAAACACTCTGTTACAGAAATGAAAAATGCTTTGCAGAAAAAAAACAAGAAGAGGATTACACTTTTGCTTGCAGTTCATGCAGATGGAGCAGATAATATAAAGCAATTTGTGATGGGAAAAGCAGCAAAGCAGGATTTCCAAGGACAAGAGTGAAAAATGAGAAAAATGGCCTCTTTTCATTTGATCCTCTTTAGAAAAAGTCACATGGAAATTGCTTCTGGCATAGATTTTAACGATTATGTCACATGTGATGATGAACTATCTATCTTAGCAACTGAAGTTAATGAAGTATATTTATCGGAAACAATGAATAGCGACTCTGATACAGAAGTTGATGATAATGAAACTCCAGTGAAAACTGTAATTTTCTCTGATGCTTTGTACGGTTTGGAAACAGTGAAAACTTACTTAATGCAGCAAGAAGTAAATAACAGAGTATTTTCTTCTCTTCATGAAGTTGAAAAAGAACTTTTTAAAGTAAGAAATCAAGGAAATAAGCAAATTTTACTCACGAAAAAATTTTAAAATTTCAAATCAATCACCGTGTAATCAGTCGCTGTATTTTAAGTTCCTGAATGAAAAGTGTAAGATTTCTATTTATTTTATGTATATGCTTATTAGAAATGTTCAGATACAGGGTGCGTTCTGAAAGTAAAGCACAATTTCTCAGGAACTTTGTTACATGAGCTTGGATGTTCTCCACTGACTCCCAGTGCTTTCCCTTCAGCTCTCTTTTCAGTCGGGGGAACAAAAAAAAAAAGCCACACGGAGCCAAGTCAGGGCTATAGGGAGGCTGGGGCACCAAGGGGGTCTTACTTTGGGTTAGGTAGTTTTTACTCCTCTGTCAACTTGCTCCTCTGTAACTGCTTACTCCCGTCACAATTCCATGTGCCACACATTTTGACAAGTTCAGGGTGTTAGTGATTGCTGAATGCTTAACCGACGATCTGACTCCAAAACTTCACGCACACGCTGCACGTGTCATCGATTCGGGCTGATGTTGGGCGTCCAGAACGAGGCTCGTGGGTGACCTTCTCTCGACCCTCCTTGAGGGCCTTGTGCCACCTTCCACACTGAGATGTCGAAATGCATTTTACCTTAAAGGCGCCTTGAAGCATGTGATGAGTTTCCGTCACATTCTTCCCAAACCGCACGCAAAACTTTATCACGTACCGCTGTTCCAGCGAACATCCATCACACTGTGACTCGATAAAAAAAAAGACTTTGAGCAAAGGCACGTCCTACCTCTCCTACTACTCGGAGCGACCTGAGACCAGGCGTGTTTGGAAGGACAAATCCCCCACCACATTTTTAGACCAATCTGAATGCGCTGCGATTCATAGTAGCGTCACAATAAAATTATGCACATTACTTTCAGAATGCACCCTGTATTCCTTAAGGTAAGACAATTTTTTGATTTTTGTCCCTGGTATTACGAATTATCCCCGATTCAACGAATAATATTTTCGGTCCCTATGAGTTTTTTAATTCCGGTCCGAGTATATATATATATATATATATACAGTGTAACGTCCCATATCCGGACGTCCCTTTCCCGGAGGATCGATTTCCCGGACACTTTTTAAGAATCAAAATAAACAAACATCTCTTGATCTTCCCCTCTAAAAAAAAAAAAAAAAAAAAAAAAAAAAAAAAAAAAAAAAAAAAAAAAAAAAAAAAAAAAAAAAA